GGAGTCGGATCTAGTAACTAGTGGCATAGACTAAGCAACACAAGGGAGTATGTTTTATCTATGCTAATGGGTAGTGCAAGTGCCAAGTGTGGTGTGAAGAACAAGATATGAATGAATGTCCATGCAGCGTACGGCGCCGGCGGGCGGGCGCAGTGGCAGTGGCAGCGGCTGACGTCACGGGAGGGAAGTGAGAGCCGTAGAGCGCGCTATCTTGTAGAGAAGAAGCGAACTAAGACCGAGTGCTGCGCTGTCTTTCGGAGGGTCAGACCAACTACTTGAACCACCGATTCTGGCTCAGATCCGCTCACTATGGCTGGACCGTTTCAATAAGATGTCTAGTGTAGAGATATAAAGTCAATGGTAGTACTTTTTACAGCAAAAAGAGAATGTCAAATTTATTCTCAATCACATCTTCACTAAGACATTCGTTCTTAGACCTGTGGACCCTCGGTGTTACAAGTTGCAGTATTGTATTTAAAAAGTATATTGTGATGTGGAAAGCGAAAAGGGACCTCGTCAGGAATTTTTGATTTTAAGTTATATATATATTTCAATTCCGAATCCCTTGGTGCTAGCCCATGCATCTAAAATTTTTTTGTTAAAGTTATAGGACTTTGAAATTTTTTTATGGAAATGGGTCATTTTGATAAAAAATATTTTGAAAATATTAATATACGCATAAAAACAGTTTTTTCCTATCTAAGAAACGATTCTGGTATCAAAAGAAAGCTTAAAATGTCCTCTTTAGAGGCAATACAAATTGTTGTTTTTGTTTTAACTCACAGTAGTTTTCATTTAAATAATTGTTTTATCGAAGCATGTCGTAAAAATAACATTTCAGAAAAGGGACCTCTTGTCGGTTCCGCAAAATTTGTGAGATATTTTGTTCTAGTTAACTAGATAACTTTGTTGTAGTTCTTTAAATTTCCACTAGCATGCATTAGAATTCATTTTTGGACTATAGTCTGTTTATAAAGTGAATATTAGAAATGGGGCCTCTTCTCAGTAACATTGAGGGACAAGAGGTACCCTTTCTCAGGCCGTGCAAAGACTAACAAAATGACTTATTTCAACCTTTTACATATTTTATTTGATATTTTTATCGATACTGTTCTGTTCTATGTTGAACGAGTTATAGAAACTGAATTTCGATATTTTTGACCTTAATTACTTCGGCGGGTCCGCGGAATTGGCTAACTCTGGAACTCGCTAACCCCATGTTAAAAGCCCTATCTTCAAATTTGGTCGATGAGAGAAACTCGCTAACTTGTTCGGTTTCGGAATTGGCTAACTCCGAAACCCGCTAACCCGCTCTAGAGCCGGGTTAGCGAATTCCGTCCTCGTACGGAAGTCGCTAACTCGGTCCCTCGGCGGAACTCGCTAACTCCCAATCAGAAGCCTCGCGGGCCGTCCAATGGGAGCCAAGCACGAATATTTTTGGCCAGTGTTACCGAAAGTGTAGTACCTGTATAGTATCGGTACCATAATGTCGTATCCTACGATTAATTAGGAGTAAGAGCAACGTAGTTGATCAAATAAATATATTGAGAAGTATGTTTAACATTATTCTCATGATTATTAGGGTGAAAAATGCATTATAGTCTTACCATAGACTAACCAACACAAGTAAACTTTATATCCCATTGTAAACTTTGAAGCTCGTTTTTCGCGTCTAGTTCATGTCCGACGACACTGATCGCTAGTGTCGCAAAAATTGTGTTTCTATTATTTCTAAAGTTAACTTCATAATTTGCTCTTTACTGTTTGGTTATATAACTAGGGGACGTGTTATTAGTTGTGATTAGAGCGTTTTATTTGGTTAAACGAGGTTTTAAATGTTTTTATTTATTTATTTTTTTATTTTTTTACTTTACAATCTGTTCTATTATATATTGAACAATAAGTAAATGCTATGTAATACAAAAAATTGACTTTGGAACATTAAAAATAGCTGTTAAGCACTCTCAACAAAAATTTTTCAATAAAAACACTTTACAAAAATCTGAAGGGCAGGTCCAGAATAGATGGCCTCTTAAGTCTGTAAATTGTATCCATGTTGTTTAATAAGTTAAGAGCTAAATTATTTTGATGAGATTCCAATTTCGTAATATATCGTTCACTTATGGTCATGATTTCGTCCTTAACTGTAGGCATCTTAAGGTCTTGACTGGAAACAAGAAACAATTGTAAACAAAACACGACCTCTAAAGACAGTGCACCGGACAGAACTAACAATAAAACTGTTTTCAGCTGATCCATAAGGATTAGAAACATACTAATATAAGGGAGTATGTTTTATATTTGGGCTTTTTACTTAAATAGTAGCTTAATGGTATGCAAAAAGATAAAAATGTACATTTAATTTGGATCTTTTACATGTTATGAAATATCTATTTGCGTAGTTCTCCATTTGTTTCTTTTATTCGAATAAATACCATTTTTTGAACTTCTGCAAATAAATTATTGAGTTCGTATTTTATATACTGGGCTTGTAACCTTGAATCTTAAAATTGAATCATAAATCATGATAAAATTTACACGTTAAACGTCAGTCCAGAAATACATTGTAGTGGTAATGTATTTTTAAAAAGAGCTATTGAATTTAAATACATATTTATCAATACAATATTATAAAGTTGTAGGCCTAATTTATTCATAGATTGCATTAAAAATTAGTCTATCCACAAATACAACTTGTAAATTTCTTTTATCGTAGGCTATTAGTGTAGAACCCGGGTCATCCTCTTAATTTTGTTTAATTAATATTAATTTTACCTCTTTTAGTAGGCCTACTTTTTAAAAGTCTGGAGTTTTTCTCCAGGCTGGTTCTAAATCGACCCAGGCTTTATTGTTTGTTACAATTCTTATGAATGGTGGCCATACCTAAAATTACTTGATCTTATCCAAAAACAAAGCTATTGTCTATTGAGTAGCTTAGTACCGGGGAACGGTGAACCGAGCAATGGCTTGGTATAGTTTATTTCGATTGTGAAACCAATGTAAAGGAAACCCAACTAAGAAAATCCGTCAATTTGTTGACTAAGAATCGTGAATTAAAATTACCCTGTCACGTTTTATTATATGAGTATTATATCTTCTCCTATTATTTACTAGTGGTGCTTAGGTGTACAATCTAAAAACTGTTTTAAAACATGTAACATTATTACTAAAAAATTCAACACATTTTAGAATTAGGCAACTATTGACTAGTAGGCCTACAATGCTTTGGCTTAAACTTTTAGGCCTAGATAAAAGCTTAGTCTAATGTCATATTTTTACACGTAAGTTGGACGATTCAACGACGAACATTTAATTTTAAATCTATGAATTAGTTATGGAAGTTACGATGGTTGATGACTGATGGTTGATGTTTGATGACATTACGATTAAATTTGTTTTCCGTGTTTGAGAACTAACGTGTATTTTAGCTTAATTTCGTAGAGGTTTAATTATTTAGTACCTTTATATCTTATATCAATATTTTTCAACTCTATTATTTTCTTTTATACTTATGGCATTTATATTTAAGATCGAAATCATAAACATTTAACTGGCCATTGTAGAGTTAAATAAAAAACACTTTTCATGAATTTTTAATAATTGTCTTTGAATTACTTTGGGCTAGTTATCTGTTAAAAGTGAAATTGATAACAAAAACAATTACATTTACTGTATCTTCATTGACACTGATATTTTGAAATACGGTAATGTACGATTATTTTGTCGTGCAAGGTTGGCAACGCTCCATGCAGTGGGCGCGGCCGGGTTAGCGACTTCCAGAGTTAGCGAATTCCGCCGCGAGACAAAATCGAGTTAGCGGGTTCCGGAGTTAGCCAATTCCTGACTGAGACGGTTAGCCTGTTCCAGAGTTAGCCAGTTCCGACACATGACCGAGTTAGCGAGCTCCTGAGTTAGCCAATTCCTACGTCTCACTTCGGCCGTACTGAAAATTTTGCAACGCTGACAAGAAGTCCCTTTTCGCTTTCCACATCACCTATTATGCTTCTATATTGGACCTCAAAGTGGTGATATTTATTAGTGTATTACATGGCAGCTGCCATAGCTGGGAGATTACAGGTTTAGCTGTTCAGCCACCAAAGTCGGATGTGCAGCACCACCCAAAGAATGTTTAGCAAAAGGACTCTTAATGTGTACTAGTGATATTAGCCGGAAATATTCTCGGTGGGAATGGACATAAATGAGAACATTTAGGGGAATAACAAACACAAATGGCACAAAGTTAGTTAAAAAAAAACATAATATTTTATTACCCTTTCCTCTGCCTATAATTACGGCCTTTTTGTTTTATCTACGTTCAGGTAAGGAAGATAAAACTTATTTTTTGTATTTAATTGTCGGATTAGTATTGAGTAGCTTATGAGTTAGGCCTACTAGACTAGGCCTACTACTAATATTCCAAAGAAGATGCAATATATTGTAATCCAACTGCAGTCGATCACAACATAAATCCCCTGAAATGTATACATTTTGAAAATATTACCTAAAAGTTGTTTGGGAATATTTTCTTGATTTTTATTCATAGGAATTTTTCACCACTAATTTGTACGTGAACATAACCCCTGCCAAAACAACTACCATGAATACTTTTCAATGAAAATGGCGACCATACAAGGTAGGTATTTTATACCAAGTATGAATGGAGACGAGTGTAGGATTAGTGGTGTGATCTTGTACAGGCGTGATCTTGCGTGTACAGCTGTCAATTAATAGCCCATACAGCTAATGGCAACTAAGGGACCTACAGTTTAGAGTGGAATCCGAACCACATTTTTGCCTTGGTATATACGAATTGGTCTAATTTTCAGGATGGTACCTGCGGATAGTTGTAGTACTCACCAGGGAGTATCGCATCCACAGTGCATGCCTATAAATATCCACAATTCGTAACCTCCTAGTAGCTGGATTACAGGACGACGCCACCCGTCCCAGTTAATCAAAGGAATAAACATTTTACCATCAAACAACACATTGTGTTATACCTGGAGGTCGTAACCGCTGAGGTGTAGCGTCAGTGGATGAAGTGTTCTCTTCCGCCTCCATGAGCCTGTCTCTAGACGCAGAGAGCAGCATCAGTCCATACTTGGCCCAGCATCTGGCCACATCAGCACATCTGTGTTTCAGTCTCTCCTTCCTACAACATACAACATCTAACTCAAGTGTTCTCCTCCGCCTCCATGAGCCTGTCTCTAGACGCAGAGAGCAGCATCAGTCCATACTTGGCCCAACATCTGGCCACATCAGCACCTCTGTGTTTCAGTCTCTCCTTCCTACAACATACAACATCTAACTCAAGTGTTCTCCTCCGCCTCCATGAGCCTGTCTCTTGACGCAGAGAGCAGCATCAGTCCATACTTGGCCCAGCATCTGGCCACATCAGCACATCTGTGTTTCAGTCTCTCCTTCCTACAACATACAACATCTAACTCAAGTGTTCTCCTCCGCCTCCATGAGCCTGTCTCTTGACGCAGAGAGCAGCATCAGTCCATACTTGGCCCAACATCTGGCCACATCAGCACCTCTGTGTTTCAGTCTCTCCTTCCTACAACATACAACATCTAACTCAAGTGTTCTCCTCCGCCTCCATGAGCCTGTCTCTAGATGCAGAGAGCAGCATCAGTCCATACTTGGCCCAACATCTGGCCACATCAGCACCTCTGTGTTTCAGTCTCTCCTTCCTACAACATACAACATCTAACTCAAGTGTTCTCCTCCGCCTCCATGAGCCTGTCTCTTGACGCAGAGAGCAGCATCAGTCCATACTTGGCCCAACATCTGGCCACATCAGCACCTCTGTGTTTCAGTCTCTCCTTCCTACAACATACAACATCTAACTCAAGTGTTCTCCTCCGCCTCCATGAGCCTGTCTCTAGATGCAGAGAGCAGCATCAGTCCATACTTGGCCCAACATCTGGCCACATCAGCACCTCTGTGTTTCAGTCTCTCCTTCCTACAACATACAACATCTAACTCAAGTGTTCTCCTCCGCCTCCATGAGCCTGTCTCTAGACGCAGAGAGCAGCATCAGTCCGTACTTGGCCCAACATCTGGCCACATCAGCACCTCTGTGTTTCAGTCTCTCCTTCCTACAACATACGACGTCTCACTCAAGTGAATAGTAGAATGAGTTGGACAACCACAACTGATTAAATCAATCTTACAATGCCTCATCAAAGTAAAAAGAAGTCTGAGTCACATTTTCACTGATAATTTTAAAACGTAAATAATCAAAAGTTGATTTTCAGAAAATTCATTTTTTATTTCCATGCAAATAATAAAGAGATACAAAGTTAGCTACACTTGTCCCAAGCTGGATTTTCCTAAGTGCGGAGGGTGGAGTCCTCTCTCCTCTTGTATTAGGTACCGTAATTAAATGGTACTGTTCCTAGAAACAAAACGGATTGCCACATGACAAGCGGAATATCGCCTCTACGCACCCCGCTCATGCGCCTAGCAAACCCTAGCTTAAGGGAATCATGGTAGGCCTATATTTGATGCAAAAACTGGTTGAAACATTCTATGGCTCAATTATGTTCAATTTGAGGTAGAATCCTACAAAAGGTAATATCTTTTAGATGTTTTCAGTTACCCAACTGTACATTTTTTAAATCAAGCACTTCTTGTAACTGAGGCTAAACAATTAACTTGATTGAAAGGTAAATGTTCAAGACTTGATCTAACAGCAGAACACATTACAAAGTATATATAGTAGAAATTTGTTTGAACATCTTCTGAAATCAATAAACAATTATACTGTACATCTTGAATAAAACACTCTCTCATTTTTAAGGTACCTACACAATTTTCATGTACTAGGTACCACCTTACTAGCCTCAATGATTGAGATCCTAAATCAATTATTAAACAGAACTAAGAATACCGGTTTGAAAATCATGAAAGGTAATGATAAAACAGGAGGGAGGGGAGGAGGAATAAAACAAACTTTTGTTAAGCAGGGAAATTTAACTCATAAATACTTACTTAGCTTCCAACTCTTCTTCAGAACATTCTACCATCTGCAGCTCTTGCTCATATCTGTCAAGTGCGTAAGATGCAGCGGCTAAATGGTGTCGAGCTTGGCGGAAAGCAAACTGTTCCATGAAAAACTGAGCTAAAGTAGCTGAGTTTAGGGCCCACTCTATCATGTCAAAATCCTGCAAAAGACTGATGTTGTTGGATGATCAAGCTCCAAACTATAGGCCTATTTAATAAATGATTGGTTGAGAAATGTACTATATCTGGTTCATATGTCATGATTATTATTATATAGCTGAAATTAATTTTATCATGGAAATGCACGTTAATAATAGGTTTTAGACCTTTGGGATGTGGTTACATCACGGCATACTTACAGTACAGTAAAACCCGTAATTTGGCATCCAAAAGCTTGGAGCGATTTTCCCAGTATTAATTTAGGTGTCATAAAAAAAATTTTTTAATTCTGTTTTAAGCGATATTAGTGTATTTGGCAGAGTCTGGAGCAATCAACAGTCAGGAAGAATCGGCAGACGGGAGGAAACGGCAAATGTCGCTGGACAAAACCCCAGAACAGCAGTATTTAATGCAGTATTTTTGTAGACTCATAATAACAACTTTTGTTAGAAGAGATTCAGTAATCCAATATTTTCAATAATCCGACACTGCCTAAGCCCCGAATGTGCCAGATTAGCAGGGACCTACTGTACACCAAAATATAAGGGTCCCAACAAAAAAATAGTAAAAAAATTCTAGAATGGGAGCACAAAGAGTCCTATGAGTGCAGAACACAAAATGTGTCCCAGTAAAAGGAATAAAACATACAAAACATAGTCAAAATATAACCTGATTCATATTTACTCAGTATCTGACAATTAGAATCCTTTATAAAATATTTTTATCCAAGTCTTCTACCTACATCATAATTGAAATTTTTTTCTACTTTTAGCCAAATCAAGATCCATTTTTGTTTATTTCAAAACTATCCACATTGAAATTTGAATTATATTGTACCCGAGTTCCCTAAAGTAACTAGAGCGACTCAATTCAATTCAAAACTACTTTATTCATTTCCTGTACATAATACATTGAATAGTGTCAACAGTTGCTTAGGCCTAATAGTTATTAAATACATTTCTAACATAATAAAATAAAAACAAAATTTCACAAACTTAATTTTTTTTTTAGTCTAAACAAAAAATACATAAATTGAATTTGTTTTTGACTTCAAAGACTATTCAACTCTTCAAAAGAAAAAATAGCCTTGCTGATGAGAAATCTCTTTAATTTATTTTTAAATATTGTTTTGGAAGTCTCTGATTTAATTTCAATTGGGAGATTATTATAAAATTTTGATCCCGCATACATGGGTTTTTTCTCAAAAAGTTTTAGACTATGGTGGCCAATTGCAAGGTTTTCCCGATTTCCAGTGAAATAATTATGACTATCCCCAACTCGTTCCAAATCATGAAGTCTGTCCTTTACTGATAAAACTGTGTCAAACGTACATTCCGTAAATTGTCATTATATTTTCCGATTTAAAATGTTCTTTATTAACAGAAGTTTCAAAATCTAAATTGCAGATAATTCTAATAGCTTTCATTTGCTTTTTTAGAATAGAATTCAAATTGTAATCACTAGTTGCACCATAAAGTGAAATCCCAAAAGATAAACTTGAGTGGATATATGAAAAATATATAACTTTTAGAGTTTGTTTTTCACAAAAGGGTTTCAATCTAGATAAAGCAAATAATCCTGATGTGATTTTGGCAAGTAACTTTTCAACGTGACTGTTCCATTTCAGATTTTTATCAATTACCAATCCCAAGAATTTCATGTTGTCCATACTTAGAATTTCTGTGTTCTCTCTAACAAAAAAAAAAAAATAATAATAATAATAATAAGTAGGCCTACTAAATACTATACCACTTGATACCACCTACCAGTAATATTTTCCCCATTTTAAATTTGAAAAAACTCACATTGCTTTCAAGCTGGCGTTTGAGAGTGGTGTGGCAGTAGATGGCAGACTTGATGGGATTACCCAGGGTTCCATACACCTGTGCCAGGTAGTACAGGGTGAGTGTGTGAACTTTTTCCAGCGGTGACTCTGCCTTAGTTTGTGGCTGACAACTGTCAGGCGTTGTGAAGAGAGCGTAAACATCAACAGGCTGATCTGATACCTGGTCCACATAGTCTGTATACAGTTGCTCAGCCTGTTGTAGGTATCTGACAAAAATGTTTTTACTGTTGAATGTTTTACTTAACAATCCTATTCTAACGTAACATAACATTTCTGAAAAATTTTTTTGCAAATTTAAAAACAAAATAGAACACGGTTAAGATGAGCTATCGATTGACAGTACCGTAGATTGACAGTACCGTTTGAATTCTGTCCCTACCAGAACTGTTGAGCAACTTCAAAGGAGTTAAACTGTAGCAGAGATTTTTGGGAGAGACTTGCCAAAAAAAAATGGTAAAACTGTCTATATAATTTATTTACAGCAGTAATACTAATAATTAATCATTAATAACTCTCACAACTTAAAATCATCTAACCTCAAATATTCATTTTATTTGTTTATAATACTGATTTCAAAATCTTTTATTATGTAAACATTACCAATCTTTTTGTTCACATCTATTCCACAATTTTAGGAATTGAACTATTTTAATATAATTTTTTTTATTGGACCAATGAAGTAAAATGACTTTAACATTTAAAAGACAAAATGTACTAGGTGACGGCAATTGTCTTTTTAGATCTTTGAGTATATTCTTATTTCAATCTCAAAATCAGTTTAAAAAACTTAGGTTAAATACTGTCGAACATATGTATACAAACTGGAAAGAATATGAACGTTTTATCCTGTATGATGACCAAACTGAGATTGATAAAGAAAAATACTGCCAGGAAATGAAAAAAGATGGTACTTATGGAACTAGTGTTGAATGTATGGTTATATCTGACTTGTTTAAAATCAACATTAACATCTTTTATCAAGCTAAACATTTTAAAACTAGAATCATCCATTTGGAAAATAAACCAACATTAATATCAAGATCTTCTCATAAAATTACAGCGGACCTACTTTTAACCGGCCGTTTGGATTGTGGACATTTTGAACTTTTAATTCCAAATGAAAGTATAGTCAGCCAAATAAATCGAAAAGATAAAATATGTGATGAGATGATTACTAATAGTAAAATTTCTAAAAGCATTTCCAGAGAAGTGAAATTTAGGACCTCAAAAGTAAAAACTAAAGCCAAACCAACTCCAATTTCCGATAATACAAATAAAGCTGTATACAATGAATGCTATGACCACGGAAGTGTTCAATTTCTTGTAACAGCAGACGATGTCAATCAAGATGATATGATTAAAGGCAATTTTATGAACAAGTTATTTACCAGAGGATTCGGAGTTCCACTTCTTAACTCTGTAAGTTCTCAAGAAAACAATGAATGGCACAAACGGTGGCTTTGTGCAATGAAATTAAAAGGAAGACAATATACAATACCACAAGGTTCAATTGGAAGGCAATTTGTAGATGTTCTAGCCAAAGAGATCCAAGCAGTCCCTAATGGTATAAATTCAACCGAAAGAATATTTTTCTTATGTGCTACCATTCTTAAAAAAGATAAAATGATAAAAAATGGGTCTGACATAAGACGTTTGATGAAGAAAAGAATGGAAATGTGGGAAAATGATCAATTTGACGAATTAATACGTGAAGCTGAGAGATGTGATCGGCAAATGAAAACATCACAAGAACACCAAGAAGAAGACCAGAAAATAAGAATTGTAGTACTGTGAGTTAATTATGTAAAGTAATAAGACATTTTCGTAAGAAAAGTTATATTTGAAACACCAAGTAACTATGTTGTTCTGTCAAACGTAAACAAACAACAATGTAAACAAAGTATTGAAAACACATTTAAATTGTATCAGCTGATTCAGTACACTACATCGTCCGAATCTGCAGATATGCATCTTTGAGATCTATGACGGAGAATTCCTGGCCACCTGTAAGTTTTGAGGTGATCTCTTCGAATGTAGGCATAGGATATTTGCTGTAGTACGGTTGTAGGTTAGTGTCTTCATTATTTTCCAAAGGCCAACAACCCCTTTTTAAATAGTTTACTACTTTTGAAAGTTTACAGAACGTCACTGAGAAGATCTACTGGAAAAACTCCAGCATTTATGATGTTTGGTCGCGAATTACGCTCCAAATTAGACATGTTGTTTCCTGACGTTGAGCAGAAAAACGACATGTGATGTAGTGTACTGAATCAGCTGATACAATTTAAATGTGTTTTCAATACTTTGTTTACATTGTTGTTTGTTTATAGTATTTTTGAAATCCGCGCATATGCGGATAGCTCCAGACGGTTTTACCACTATTACTATGGGCGAAGCCCAAATGATAGGTTCATTCCTGGCATCGACTGGTTCTAAAACTCCACTGTCTACTAATCGTTGAATTTCATTTTCCACAGGTTCCCGTAAAGCAAAAGGAACTGGCCGTGGTTTTGAAACTACAGGAGCTGCATTTGAAGCCATGTGAAAAGATACCTTGTGATTTTTAATCGTACCTAAAGAGGGACTGAAAACTTCTGGAAAACCGTTAACAATGTCATTAACAATCTGTTCACTTACTTGTTCTGTTTGCTGTTTGGACAATGTACATATTTGAGCCCCAGGTGGCAGTGGTAAGTTAAAATCAAGAACCCAGTCTAGGCCGAACAAAGGTATATCGTTTTTCTTAACAACAATTACCGGTAACTTACGTTTGGAACCAAAAGCTTCAACTGAAACATACGTTTTACCCATAGTTTCAATTAGAACTCCTGTGTATGCATTAAGATTATCTGTGGGAAATAGTTTAGGAGCTCCTAGATCTCGCCATATGTTTCTGCTAATGATACTGAACGCTGCACCTGGGTCATACAACATTGAAATTGTATGATTGTTTAACTTGACTGAAAGCATTACTTTCGACCCTTTATTAATCGCTTGGATTTGATCTGTATCAGAAAAAGATTTAACACTAGAGTTACAAGACGAGTTTTTTGCCTCTAACATGTTAAGTCGCTTACCTTTGATAATGACTGCATTACCCACTTTAAGACAAGTGCGTGCAAAATGATTCAGTCCTCCACAGGCGTTGCAAGTGGCATCGACAGCGGGACAGCTCGTTCCTTGTGTATGTTTCTTGTAACCACACCGAATGCAGTCAGTTCTCTTGTTAAGATGTAAGATGTTTTGTTTCGAAGTGTTTCCTTTTGTTTCTTGTTTCAACGGTATCGTTTCGAAAGCATTCTTCTTGTTCCTGTTGCTTATTCTGTTGACTGAACGTGTATTACGGAATTGTGACTGTTGATTGTCAACATTTTCCAATAAAGTAGCGGTGTTTGTGACTTGTTCAAATGTAGTATCTGTCGTAGCATGTAAGCGCAAAAGTTCAAGTTGCCAGCGATCATTGTTGATGCCCAGAACAAACTGATCTCTCAGCCGTTCGTCTAAGTTGTCACTAAAGTCACAGAGACCTGCAATTTCGCGCAAAGCAAATTCGAAATGACTAACAGATTCACCTTCTTGTCTGAAACGGCGACTAAAGATAACCCGCTGTGATAGTGGTGCGGATTTTTGTGTGTAGTATTTCTTAAGTATATCAATAACTCCTGTAAAGTGAAGATTACTGACGGGATCAGGTCGTGCGTGGTCAAATACTAGCTTGAAGGGTTGAGGTCCAAGGTTCCCTAGCAACAAGTCTCGTTTTGTATCCTCATTCTTGATTCCTCTGTTTCGTAATGCAATCTTGAAACGTTCGAGCCAGTAAGTCCATTCTTCAGAATGACCATCAAAAGCATCTATACGTAAATCGTCGGTCCGTTTAGTAGACTGCGCCATTTGTAGTACTGTGAGTTAATTATGTAAAGTAATAAGACATTTTCGTAAGAAAAGTTATATTTGAAACACCAAGTAACTATGTTGTTCTGTCAAACGTAAACAAACAACAATGTAAACAAAGTATTGAAAACACATTTAAATTGTATCAGCTGATTCAGTACACTACAAGAATCTTCACAAGATTGGTATTACAAGGAAAATTGCGTGAAGCTACAAGATGGCTCACAGATCGCTCCGGCGATGGAGTACTCACACCTGAAGATATCCTTCCTGATGGTCAAAATGTTTTTCAAGTTTTAAAAAATAAGCACCCACGTCAAATGGTTCCGAATGACAATACCTTTCTAGCTGATGAGAACTTACCATTGATGGTAGATGTGGATATATCCAGTGACCACATAGAGAAGATGGCTAGACGTTTGCATGGAAGTGCTGGCCCTAGCGGAACAAATGCTGATCAATGGAAGAATATGTTGCTGCGCTATGGAGCACATAGCACTCGTTTAAGGGAAGCAGTCGCATCGTTAACTCGATGGATGGCAAACGGGATAGTAAACTGGAACTCCATCAGAGCTCTGTTAGCTAGAAGAGGATTAGCACTGAACAAATACCCTGGTATTCGCCCAATAGGAGTTGGAGAAGTTTTGCAGAGACTATGTGCAAAAACCATGGCTTTTGTAACAGGTGACGATGTTCAAGAAATATGTGGATCTGACCAACTCTGCGCCGGAACGAAAGCTGGAATAGAAGGTGCTATACATGCTATGACGGACCTATTCAATGAAAAGAACCAAAATTGTATTTTACTTGTAGATGCTTCAAATGCGTTCAACGCCTTGAGCAGGCCTTTAACTCTGTGGAATGCTAGGGTGCTTTGGCCTCGTTGCGCTCGTTTCCTATTCAATACATACCAAGGCTATGCAACCATTATGTTTAGAGGAAGCAATAAAATCATCCTTAGTCAAGAAGGAACCACTCAGGGAGACCCTTTAGGCATGCTAATGTATGCAATTGGCATATTACCTTTGGTAAAAAAACTAATATACCCCCGCCGCAGCAAACCTGCAGACTAAGCGAATTTCAACTCGTCTGATTACATTTTTACTAAAATATTTCTATAAATAAGACTTATTATTCCCTATTTAAATAACATTAGATTTAACGAGTGCTTAGGTTTGCTGCTACGGGGAAGATAAAAAGTGTTTTTTGACCATACGTCAATAGTATAGGATGAAATAAATAAATTTGCCAAATTTTATCAATATATACCCATAAACAAGTAAACTACAACAATTTTCATTTTCTCCATAAGAATAACATGGGAATTTTTAATTACACTATTTTTGAATTTTCTCCATGACCGTTAGGCATACAACAGCGCTTCAATATACTAAATTATTTCTTTTTTTAAGCTCTACAAAACGGTTTAGAAAGAAATCGCAAAATTTTTTGTTTTTAGGTTCAAAAATGGGAAAAACCCATTTTTACCCCATAAAACCCCCCATAAACCCCCGTTCCCATGGTCCGATTATGCTGGATCGCGAACTCGTTTGAATAAACGTAGGTTTACACGTTTGTACCAAATTTCATAAAAATCGGATCATTTTTGCTCGAGTTATCGCGCTAACGGACACATATATATATATATATATAAATATATATGTATATATATATATAAATATATATATATATATATGAATTTGAACGGATGGTGTTTTTGGCCTCTAGGGACCTCAAAATGAAAAATTAAATCGGTCTCGGGTCCAGGTCTTACCATGAGTACTACGGTAATAGCTTATTCCCTATATGGGAAATTCGCTAAATATTCCCTATATGGGAAATTCGCTAAATATTCCCTATATGGGAAATTCGCTAAAAAGCCTAAATTGGAAGCAAAACTGGTACGCTGATGATTCTGCATGTTTCGGTGAAATACTTAAAGTTAGAGAATGGTTTAACGCTTTACGTGTTGAAGGGCCAAAATGGGGGTATTACCCAGAACCCAAGAAAAGTGTATTGATAGTAAAACCTGAATATAAAGAAAAAGCAGAAGAAATTTTCAGAGACCTACAAGTGAAAATTGTAACATCGTACAGGTTTTTAGGGGGTATTATTGGTAGCTCAGAAGAAAAGAAGGAATTCGTGAAAGAAAAAGTAAAAAAATGGGTTGATTGTATAAAGAAATTTGGCATAGCTGCACATAAAAGTCCTCAAGCAGCTACTGCCTTTACTAAGTCATTACAAAATGAATGGGCATTTCTCCAAAGAGTAACAGAGGGATTTAGTGAAGAATACGAAGACTTAAAAACTGCCATACATCGCCATTTCACTCCCAACCTTTTCGAACAAGAGATTTCTGAACTTGAACATGACTTGTTCTCTCTCCCTACTCGTTTTGGAGGCTTAAATATTCAGGACCCGACAAAGAACGATGGTATTTCATTTAAAGCATCAAAACAATGCACAGAAAAATTAATATTAGCCATTAAAAATGGACAACCATTAAAGATTAATGATCATGTATCAACACTACAAGATGTAAAAAAGAAGAGAAAACTAGAAAAAGACATGTTGGCTAAAGCAAATAATGAACGAATTATGGAATTACTTCCTGAAAGTCAAAAGAAGCCAATAATTAGAATTGTAGCAGGGAATACTAGCCAATGGTTAACTGTGACACCATGTGCATCTGATCATACGGATTTGTCCCCGGATCAATTCAGAGATGCTTTGTCAATTCGCTATGGCCGCACACTAAGAAATTTACCAGTACGATGTGATGGTTGTGATCAACCTATGAATCTTACACATGCATTAAATTGTAAAAAAGGAGGATTGATCAAACATGGGCATGATCAACATCGAGACCACTGTGCTGCGATAGCAAATATGGCCTGGAAAGGGGTTGAAGTCGAGCCTATTATGAGAGAAGCTGACCCTGCAAACAATGTGCCTGCTTTAAAAGCTGATTTTAAAGTTAATGGTATTTGGGAGGCTGAGAGAGTAGCGTTTTTTGATAATCGCATTGTTAATGCTGACGCTCCTCCCTCTTACGCCAACCAAGAATGGGGAACAATATCTCGAAACCATGCCGTTCAGAAACACAATAAATATGACAAAGCAGCCGAAGACATCAGAGGAAGCTTCACACCATTAATATGTTCCACGGAAGGAGTCCCCCACAAAGAATATGAAGCGTTTCAGAGGAGAACAAGCGAAGCCCTGGCTGTAAAATGGAGAAAACCATACTCCCAAATTATCGGATGGTTGAGGATCCAAAGCCAGCTTTCCATCATTCGAGCAGTTTCGCTAAGGCTACGGGGAACTAGACGAAAAATTCGAAGCATTCAATTTGAAGATGGTGCCGCAATTCCCCCATTGCTCTATTGAGCATTCATTTTATTTTTTTAAACATTTATATTTGATTGAAAATCATAGTCATATGTTGAATTATTTGAAATGTATAAATAAAGTTTTATTGTTTCAAAAAAAAAAAAAAAAAAAAAAAATTTACAGCAGTATAATAATACCTGAAATACCTCCTCTTCATCGTTGACCAGCCTGGGCCGGATGGATAGCATCAAAATCATTAAAAACTACTATTGACATTAAACATATATTTAAAATATACTGACTGCGCAGCGGCGGTGGATGCTTATACGGTAATACGTACTGTAGTAAACTTGTCTTAAGTTAACTACAGTATCCCAGCGTTCAGTAACATTAGGAAGGACAACACTACAAATAAGTGATGCAGTAATTATTTAGCAAAATATGATTCTAAAAGGGCATAAAAGGCTAATTAATGTGGATTAGAAAAAAATATCAGTCTTCAATGCTTACCCATGTGATTTGTTGGGGTCGCCTCGCTGAGACCACAGCAGTCCCAGCTGATTAAGAGCTTTGATTACAATTATTATGCTTTGCGGATTTAAAGCTTTGTCTTCCAGCTTATTCAAGCAATTCATCAACTGCTCTTCTCCGGTCGCCAGTTCTTCTGTATCAATTGAAATAGTTCCAAGCAGTAGCATCACTGCACCATACATGTTCTCTATCAACTCAAAACTCGGATCATTTGAAGGAATGCTATCTTTTATATTTGAAAGGCGAGATTTCATGTCATTTAATACCTCTCGAGCAGCATATTTAGACTTGTACGGATTATCTTCTGGATCCCGCTTGCTCTCCTCCTCCAGTAAGTTTTGAACCTTTTCACACTTCTCCCTTAATTCTATGATAACGTCTTGACTAACTTGGCTCATCCTAGAAATATAAAGATTGATGCAATAAGTTATTACCAAATAAAACAATAAATGTCTACAACAACAACATAAAGTATCTAGAATAAGATATTACTACCGGTATTTAAAAATATACACTGCAGGTAATTTACTAGAGAACCTATCGCATGGAATCGTGCGCAATCTACACACAGGAAATGCAAGACATTTTATTGTTAATCTTTTATTTGACGTTTTAGGGTATTTTGGTTTTGTTCGTAGATAGTGGAAGGCGTAATTGAGTTTGCAGTTTACCGTCTTTACCGTTTTTCTGATAGCTGCTAAAAGATTCTTGTATGATTAATCAACTTTAACCTAAATAATTCTTTTGGATTTAATTTGATTTTCTATAGTAAAATACTGGTTTTTATTGTTTATATTGTAAATTTAAAAATGATACCTTGCGTTCACCAAGTGTGTATTATATAAACAAAGGCTGTTTTTTTAGCACTTTTCCAACAAAACCCACTGTCATTGAGATTTACCGATGTCCATGGCAAACGAAGAAAAGACTGGGAACAGATCTTTCAAGAGCAAAGGGCAGGACAGATTTAAATAACTGCAGTTTGATCCTGGGAATCAATATTTACTTGCCAACCGATGAGCCCGATAGTGTTAAATGCCAATGATGACTATGATGTGACTGAAGAGCTCCATCACCCCACACTCGATAGTGTGCGATACATTCTTTTAACACGCATACCGGCATACATGTTCCATTAATCAAGCCTGATGACGGGATCAAGATTCCTGATTAACATAACAATGACGTTTCCTTGAACTTGAGTACATGAGGTGGTACACCACTAACAGAGAGGCTGTTACAAAATTCTGGATAACTACTTTTCCCAGCGTCGTTTTCTGTAAGTACCTTATCGCTGCTTAAATATTGTTTGCAATGGCCAGGAATATTGTCCATGATTGCGCTACAGTATTCATTTCGGAACAGTCTTCATTTTTTTAACACAAAATGGCACGGTCAATTATGTCATTGCTCTTAACAATTGCATACACTTTCCCATAAATATTGGCAACATGATTGTCCGAACCAATTACTGTAGATTCTGTGGCATCTCAATTACACTGTATCAAAATTCTGGGTAAGTTCCCAGAGTGTCCCATCCCTGAGACGTTAAGGGAAAAGCCATGAATTCTTGTTTAAATGCTGAAGATCTCTTTATCTTTGTGTCAGTTTTGCTTAATCTCATGCAATGCTGTGAAAGAATTAACGCATTGTTATAATGACCCACTCCAGATTCTTATTTGACTGATTGGATTTTAACCAGGCCTAAATTTATTTCTTAATCGTGTCAGATTATTCCCTATTAAACTTGAAATACTTAACGTTAGGTTTCCTGTTACAGGGGAGGTATAAAGTGCATTTTTTATGTGTAGATCAATTTGCCAAAATTTACCATTTGCGGTAGGGTACTCCATAGGCCTACCATTGTACTAAGAAATCTTACTTAAACCATAAGAAAGTTAATAGCTTAAGTTATTCCCTTAGGCCTAAGGGAAATTCACAAAAAATATGAAGTTTTTTGTAAATTTTTTTGCTTGCTCAAATTTAAAAAATAACTCAACTTATCTTATACGCCCGAGAGTCCGATCAGAATAAAAACAACTTAGTTTGCCTATTTAATGCCTAAAGAATCAGTGTACCAAATTTCAGCCTCCTAGGTAAATGGGAAGTGGGAGAATTAGTGATGAGTGAGTCAGTCAGTCAGTCAGTGAGGGCTTTGCCTTTTATATATATAGACTAGCTGTAACCCGCGGGCTTTGCCCCGTTTAACTTCTTAATTTTCAAGATTATCTCGTTCGCATGGCTCAATCACGTCCTGGTTGAAGTTTGTTCGCTACGCTCACTCACCTTTAGGTTGGAGCTCGTTCGCTACGCTCACTTGCCTTCGGGTTGGAGCTCGTTCGCTGCGCTCACTTGCCTTCAGGTTAGCTCGTTCGCTACGCTAACTCGCCTCCAGGTTGAAGTTCGTTCGCTACGCTCACTCACCTTTTGGTTGCAAATTAGCTGTTGTCATAAATGTAAAAGAAATAATAGTGCTGCACCCTGTTGGTAATCCTTGTAACTTTAATGCTATTGAACATCATAGAACAGAACCAACTTGTTTAATTGAAACAGCTGTTAAGATTCAAAAATTCCATTTCTCATAAGGTTAACATGGGAAACTCCAGAGCCACTGGGGCGGAGCCCGAAAGGATTTTTGAAATAAGAATATGCCTATATGTTAATCGGGAATGTGACCTATCATCATGCCAAATTTCAGCCCAATCCTACCAGTATTTTTCGCGTTCACTTGTCACAAACATACATCCAAACTTTCTCATTTATAATATTAGTCCTACTAATATTATAAATGAGAAAGTTTGGATGTATGGATGTATGGATGGATGTATGGATGTATGGATGTATGTTTGTGACAAGTGAACGCGAAAAATACTGGTCGGATTGGGCTGAAATTTGGCATGATGATAGCTCACATTCCCGATTAACATATTATAGGCATATTCTTATTTCAAAAAACCTAAAGGTGAGTGAGCGTAGCGAACGAACTTCAACCAGGACGTGATTGAGCCGAATAGAAAGACCAAAAATATTGTCTACCCACTAGCATTAATATAAGAGCAATAATAAAGAATCGGTTATCCTTTGTACTATATGTGTTTCATTAGTTGTCGTACGTATTTTAATTTAGTTATAAGCACTTCATGTACAATAAGACAATTAAACGTTACGGTACTTAAATTATAAATAGTCAAAGGCAAGACAACGTCTGCCAGGTTCAGCTAGTTAGTATCTAAAATTAAAATCACAGTTTCCCTCTTTTTTTATGATAGTACTTCTTGAAGTTAATATTGCATGAAAAATAATTTAATAGCTTTTATTTTTTTTATTTTTTTTTTACTTTTAAATACTTTAAGTACAGTAAGTTAGCCTAACATATGTGTTTTGGTAAAAAGCTTGGATTTTTCATGTTTGTTTAACTTTTCCAGGAAAACTGCAATCATAATTCATTTCACGACATAATAGTAAAAAAAATGTATTTTACCTGACGGCTGTGTTCAATATAACTTAATTACCGTTCATTTTTAACAATCTCGGCTGCACTTTACTTTAGGTCCTACACAAACAACCGAATGAAAATATTGATTATTTTATTGTTTCATTCGAATGAGTGTAGGACCCAACGAACTATACTAACTAGTAGTATACTAACTATAGTACACTAGTAGTATAGTTCGTTGGTAGGACCTAAAGTAAAGTGCAGCCACAATCTCTCAAATGAAACTGTGAAAAATTGAGGGCAGTAATTAGTATAATACCGGTACACACTATTGTTTCAGTTTTATTTAGAGCTGATTCCACCTACACTAGGGTTACCATACGTCCGGATTTCGTTCAGACAGTCCGGAATTGGAACAGGTGTCCGGTTTGCATCCAAATCTGTGAAATCTCCAGATTTTACTAACTTAAGTTTAATATGACCTGAAAACTTAGCCTAATTGGGGAATTTTACGCCACACGGCAACTAAGTTTGTAACACTGTCAGCACTTTGCGCTCACTGCCTTCTGTCTGCGTCTGTCTGAGGCTTAATTCTGATATATTTGTAATTTTATTAACCCCGATAAGTTTTATTGATCTGAGTTTGATCACATTTTTCATAGGTACCTCAGAATGGCTAAAAACGCATACGGTAGGGCCTATTTCATTGCTTAGTTTTCCAAAATTCTCCGGGGGAGGGCCCGGACTGGTATGGAATACCCCCCAAACCCCCCTGGAAAGCTCATGTCCGGATCTGCCATCAAAAAAATATGGTAACCCTAACCTAAGCCTAGCCTAGTACGAATACCAATATGTTTAATTATTTATTTAGTTGCTTGCTATATATTTAAATAACATAAGGTTCAAAGTTTATTTTGTGTCTACTAAATTTGTCTGCTGTAGAATTCTGAAAAAATAAATTAGGCTAGGCTCATCAAGTTAAAATGAAATTGGACATCCATTTAAGCAGATACATCAGATTATTATCGTAAATAATTAACAACTTACTTTATTCGTTTAAAGTTGATGTTTTAAGCAATAACACAAATTACTTAGGCCTAATCTATAGTTTACTATTTACTACTTTAAGTTTATGCGGTTGTTTATAGTTAAGATATTCAATTACTTAACACGTTAGCTGCCAAGGCTATTTTCCGGGGGGATTGTTGCATTGCCAACTATATGCTCACGTAATATTTTAGTTATATGATGTTATTTATACTTATCTCGGTTAGTTATAATGTTATCTGTCCAAATACCTAAAAGAAAATGGCGGAAAAAGTGTCACCCCGATCGGGGTGACAGTGATTGTTTTCAGTCAAACTTTGCTGGAAAAAATCGCTGTCACCCCGATCGGGGTGACACTGAAATTCGACCATTTGGGATGTATTTCATTTTGTTCGGTTGGCATTAGCGGCATTTTGGTGTGTGAAGACAACAACACCTGCTTATTACTCGACTGTGTTATGTTTACTTCTTCTTGTATTGTACTTTTTAGCTATTTATAGCCTAGTTTTCGTGTTGGTTTTCATAGTGTGTTGTGGCTTTTGTCCAACATGAGTGACAATCTTGGTGATGAAGATATCAAACGTTTTTTGGGTTTACCTATGTCAAGTGAACTAGATTTTGGAGATCTGAGTGATGGTTTTTTGGGAGGTAGTGCTAAAGACAGTGATGAGTCAGACAGGGACGACGAAATGGACATCGACCCTGACTTTCAACCTACCCTCCTGTCAATGTCAGAGAGCGAGCACAGCGACAATGGTCATGTTTTTTCATTATTATACATATATTTAGTTTTTTTTAGCAATGTAATATTGTTTACAGTTTGACATAAAAGATTTAAAAAATATGTTTGTTTTCTTTCTTATCTGTTTTTCATCAGTAGCCTATAACCCAAATACTTACTTTTATGTTTTGGTTAAGGACATAATTTCAGTCATAAGATACAAAAAACCCGTATAAAATATAAACACCAACTGAATAAGATAAACGTTACGTCATTTTATGGTACATATTCCAATAAAGAGTAGATAAAATTGTTGAAAAAAATAGCGTCACCCCGATCGGGGTGACAACATTTCGGTACTTTGTGACGTAAGTTTGGACATGTTATAAACATCAGAATGCAATATAATATTGATATCTAGTTGGCTTGGAGTGTGTATTTATAAGCCACAATGTTTGACTGCCGTTGAACATCAAAGACTGTCAAAAAGCGGCAAAGAAAAAACCCCTTACAAATTACAACTGTCACCCCGATCGGGGTGACAGTGCTCACATACGAGCCAACTGGTGGCACCCCGATCGGGGTGACATGGCAGCTAACGTGTTAACCTCAAAACACTCATGATTTTGACATTGACATTAGCAATTTAGAAGAAAATAGCAAATTTACAAAACGAGAAAGCCTATCAGCACCCAGCAGCCAACTATAGCAACACTTCTTCTCCCTTCTCCAATGAATATACTGTCTTGTAAATTCAGATGATCCATAGATTAAATCTTTGACAATTATTAATATACATAGTATATTATAGATTTGTTCAGATGTGGCCGTGGATATAACGTCCTTTTGTGTCAAATTGACAAATTTCAAAATCAAATTTCCCTATAGGGAAGTAGCTATTACCGTAGGTGGCGCGGTAGGCTCCTTTTATACTCTGTGGCGGGCCACACCGCCGCGCCGCAGCGTTCGACGCGGGCGCTGCATGCATGTTTGTGCAGCAGCCATCGGCATCGGCGGAGGTATCAGGGCTACCAAATTATTGTCGGGACCAGATAAGTTTGCAGTTGAGGGAGGAGCCTATTTACCATAATAAGGTTTTGAATGAACCAATGAGAACGGCACGGTGTTGCCATATCGAATTATACCAGCTGATTTGAAAATATTGCTTTGTATATTTTAATTTGTGTTGTCATTGGCGATGTGGAAACGTCGCACTAGCCTTGTCTTGTGATTGGCTGCCACCAACTGCAAACTTATGTGGTCCCGACTATAGGGATTTCTATATTTACTTCAATCGAATCGTAGTACCATCCGCGTAATTTTACATAGACAAAGCTTGATGCTAAGAAAAGAAAAAGTAAAGCACCTACCATTGCGGCAATCCCGGAAAGTGGAATGGGGGGAGGCAAGGCAGTACCGTTGTGCTGATTATGTTGTTTTGATCAGTTGGCACTTGGCAGCAATCGACAGCTCAGCGCCGCTATGCGTGGCGTGCCGCAGAGTATAAAAGGAGCCTCGGGGCCGGGACCGATTTTACTTTTTCATTTTGATGTCCCCAGAGGCCAAAAACACCATTCGTTAAAATGTTTACATGTGTAAATGTCTACGTGTGTGTGTCCGTGAACGCGACAACTTGAGTTTTTTTTTTTCAATTTTAATGAAATTTAGTTTGGGTGCAAGGTGGGATTAACTGGAATGAGTTCGCGAGCCAGCATGATCGGACCATGGGAGCGGGTGGGGGGGGGGGGGTGGTTATGGGGGTAAAAATTGGGATTTCAAATTTTTGACCTTGAGGGTCAACATCCATTTTTTCTTTTTCTCTCTAAACCTTCTTAAATAGCTCAAAAACCAAATAATTTAGTATATCAAAGTTCTTTTGTACGGTTATTGGTAACAGGAAAAATTCAAAAGATTATAAATTTAAAATTCCCATGATATTCTTGTTGAGGATATTGTAAAATGTTGTAGTTTGCTTGTTTGTGGATATATTTTGATCAAACTTGGCAAATTTATTTATCTTTTACCAAGATATTAGTATTTTACTAAAATTACATTATTTATTAATTTTCTTTTAGCAGCAAACCTATGTACACCTAATGTTATTTAAATTTAACTGAAAATCAATCCAGACATAATGGAAATTCGCTTAATCGGCAGGTTTGCTGCGGCGGGGGTATTTTTAATTTACAGTAATAATTATTGTAAAAGATACTAGTTTAAATGGATTCCAACATTTATGCTGCATCTCATATACATTTTACACTGTTAATAACTTATGCTGGTTCGCGAACCCAGACAGAGCACACTTTCTCCTCAGGACATCCCACGGATATTGCGACAGGATATGCAAGATATCCCATAGTAGTCCTATGGTCAACCTGGGATATCCCAGGATATCCGCAGGAATACGTAATGTCCCCGCCCGGGGATACTACAGTATATAATATGATTCTGTTAATCTGTTTAGGCCTCAAGTAGTTGAATTGTTTTTCTGGTAGTTGGAGAGGATACTGGTATTTGAATATAGATTATTTAATTACTATTAGATTAGCACTGTTATAATTGATTGTTATATGATTAAAATTAGTTTTAGATTATTTTATTAATTTAAAGTTAGAATTAAATACACGTTTCACACAACTATGATAGAACTCTAGTTTTCCTGAACTCAGTGGTAGTAATATGTCAGTAGGTAATGTAAAGTCAGCCCTTGCTAGCCACAGTGTTAACAAGACATATTTACAATTTGGGAAACCTTAAACTTTTAAAACAAATTATAAAACCTCAACATCTTAATGCGTGGGAATCTTATTTAATAGAAAAAAAACAGACCAAAATTATTTGTTAATTAATGAAGACGGCCCAATTACAAACTCGGAATTACTGAAAATAATTACTTTAAGAACAACACTGTAATATATCCAAAATTCAAAAGATTAATTTTTCTAATACTATTTTTTATTTTTCCAATATCCTTTAAATCATCCGTTTTAACATTGTTTAAAATTAATTTATTAAGTAAATATTTACTTTTTGTACCAGTGTAAACACAGCCTGAAGATGAAAACCTAGTTTCTGAAAGCGCTATTGAACAAAACAAATTATTATATATTGGCCTTGTTGAACATTTAAATTTGGATATACATTTCATCAGTGGTAGTAGCTTTTTTCTTCAGTTTGTTACCGGGACATTACGGGACATTACAGGATATCCAGTGGATTTTGTACATGTCCCGGGATGTCATGGGACATTCTGGGATACCCAGGATACCCTATGGCATTCGTAAATATCCCGGGACTTTACAGGATATCCTGAGGTTAACTTACAAATCCCGGGACATTATGGTATATTGTAGGATATCCTGTGGATTTCGTACTCGTCCCGGGATTTTGCGGGATATCCTCAATCTAGCGTACATATCCCGAGACATTCTCAGGACATATGGGACTACTATGGGATGTCCCTGGGATAAAGTGTGCTGTCTGGGAACTCATTCCAGTTAATCCCACCTTGCACCCAAACTAAATTTCATTAAAATTAAAAAAAATAACTCAAGTAGTCGCGTTCACGGACACACACACACACACATTAATAAGGTTATCATGTGATGTATGGGAGTTTATTTGCAAATTCCTGGATTACTATGCTGCATGCGATAACTCAAGCCCTTTACACGTTCCATCCTCCCATTATAAGCTCTTTGGTGTATCTATTTTAGGATGGATTTTAATTACATCATTTTCAGTGTATAGTAACTATAATGCTGTAGTACAAAGTGGGGGACCGTGGATTTGAGATTATTAATTAAATAATATTTTTTTACGAGGAAAATACTTATAAGTGGACTTGATTTTAATTTTTTTAATAAAAAACTAAACAGTAAAATTCATAGTAACACTCGGTAGTTAGTTATCCTGCGTGTAGCATTTTCTGAAAAATATAATTCATTTTTCGTTGTAAAAAAGAATAGTCCGCTTGTTTGACGTGTTTTATTGGTAGTTTGTTCTGAAATATACTTTGCACAACACTACTACACTATTTTTACGAACTTCCCACGCAATAATTTATTCCAGAAAACAGCTATTTGCCGCCAGCTTAATCAAATGGGGTTTCATTACGTACTACTGTACTGTAATGAGTTTTTACCGGACACCAAAAGCTGTTTAAAATGTATTTGGCAATGAGTGGTTATAAACAAAAACATATAACCTCGAGTTGGTGGTAATATATAAGGATTTTTACAGATTTAGTAGTATGGCGTAAATAAAATATCGTACGTCACTCGTCCAAAATGTGTTTACCGGACTCGTCCCGTCTTCACTTGCTGACTTCCTCTCGCACGGGAACGACCAGACTCGTCCGGTAAACACCTATTTTCAGGACTAGTAACGTAATATACTATTTTGTGTCCTCTCATTGATGATTCGCCACGAGTCCATTGATTCATTCTCTTAATATGATAGTAAATTGATTGTAGGATTCCCAGAAGTGATATTAGTCACTCACACCACTTCAGATGACGAGATGAGCATTATGAGTCATTGTAATACAATAAGTTCAGTTTGTTTGATTTTTTACCAGATTAACGATAAGACTGAGGCATTGGACGATCCTTGCAATTATGATACCATTAACATGAGTAAATCATAATTTTTGGACTGATTGTACAAAAACTATTAACCAAAAGTTAATTTTAAATTATTACCGCTCAAAATGCAGACAGTCAGTCGCGTAAGAATGTGCTGTGACTAATCAGAAATAAAATAGTGCTTAATAAATAACGCCTTGCATTATTCTAAGCCATCTCTGTAATTAATAGGTATTGATTTTATTACTTTAACTGTATTTTTTTAAATTATCAGCCAACTTTTACAATATAATTTCTATCAATTAAGTGAATTATGTATATTCCGCGGAGTGATATCAACGGTCACAAGTAGTTCCCGTTTCGTTTAGCTTTAGCAGTCGCCACTGACTCTGTAGCTAGTAAATAGAACTGCACTTTTTGTTTTGTGAATTTTGTTTTGTAACATACGTAATTTATTGTTTGTGTTTCCCTGTAATCTTTACATTCTTGTTTCTTCACTGAAATCAAATAAATTTTAAGGTATGTAGTGTATTACTTATTGCTTATCTAACTTGTAATAATTTCACTGATTATCTGCAATGCTCCACTGCAAGTTGTTGAACAGTTGATTGATTTGTCCAATTCTTACGAGGAATCTATCAGGGACTTCAATACACTTTCTTCAGGCACTTTCGTTTGATTGGAATTGCATTAAGATTTATTGTCGATAATTTATTTTAAACGAAACTTTTCAATTGAAACTTGAGTAACTTATAAAATAGCTAGCAACAATTTAGGTCACTGACTTCTTTGTTTCTAGGCCTAGGTTAGACTAGGCTATGGGAATCCTTTTCAAGATCTTTACTGCAGGGTTAGAAACTGTACAGTCCTATGCATATCGATAAATTACTGTCCCCAGAGATTCATTTAAGCTTACCTAGCAGGGAATTGGTAGAATAAGTTAAGCCTAAGTACATAAAACTTAAATAAGGTACCCTAGGCCTACTTTTGTAAGGTTTAACCAACTTTATAAAATGCCAGTGAGTGTAACTTATTGGTAACTTATAGTGTACCCTATCTTATAGGTTAGCAAAATAGTAGGCCTAAGTTAAGTTTTAGTTTTATAGGTTAGGTAAAGGATAAGTTAAATAAGTCTTAGGCCTAGTAGAAATTAGACTTGCAGTGTTCCCTAACCTTGTAAGCTTATGAACAATTTAAAATGAGTTAACTTTTGTCAATAATCTACTGTCCATTTGAAAGGTTAAGTGATAAATAAGTTAACTTAACATAAGTTATAAGTTTGGACCCTTTAAAAACTTAAACTCCAGGCCGTGGCCTTCGAAGTGGCAACATCACAAGTAGGGTTAAACTTACCAGCTGTTTTTTTTTAGGCACCTAGGCCTATTGGCTATTTGTGGCTATTTATACGCTATTTGTGGCCTATTGGCATTTGTAATGACATTAAGAATACGAAAGCTCGTGGTTACTGGGCTTTATAAATATTGAATTCAGTACAAAAATAACTTTAAATTTAAATGGCTACTTACCTACATTTTCAATTCAAATTATTGTTTTGGTTTTAAATTCTATATGTTTTGTATTTTCAATATATTAATACTTTCATTTTCATAAATTTAAATTTAAATGAATAATAGGCCTACGCAAATTAATGAGCTGGTATCACCTGTCAGCAATGTTACCTATCTTATGGGATGTTTGGTACTAGACATCACTACTTGCAATGTCGCCAATTTTACCAGGCCGCGGCCTGGAGTTAAATGTGGCCGTGGTTTGGATGCGACTCCCTCTTCCTAAGCCTATCAGATTTCAAACAGATAAACTTAATTTAATTGCATTTCTTATCTGGTTAAATAGGCTAGCTTCCTACTGTTTCTGGTATTTTTATGCTAACATCTACTTAGGCCTAGCATCAATTCATTATTCAATCTAGCATCTGTTCACTTTTGTCAAGCTTGCAATTTTGTTCGGCAGTGCTGACTAGGCTGCACTTTACTTGACGTCCTACACTCATTCGATTGTTTTTCAATTCGATATTTTCACTCGATTGTTTCATTCGATATATCGTTTGGTTAGTTAGGTTAGGTTAACCTTACCTAACTAACCAAACGATATATCGAATGAAGCAATCGATTAATCGATATATCGATCAATATTTTCATTTGAATGAGTGTAGGACGTCAAGTAAAGTGCAGCCGCTGACTAACCAACCCATTGCAGGTGACAGTCCTAACTTAAACTTAAGGTTTTTAGTTAGGCTTAACTTAAATAAGTTAAAACTTAACCCTTTGAGTGCCCCAAGGGGGTGAAACAATTTTATTTGAGGTTTGCCAGGCCTACATGTGGTGTTGCTTCTAGGATTGCCGACCATTTTCCACATAAAAATGCAGGTTGTTAGGAAAATCATCATTAACTTAAACACTTATTATTAACATTTTTGGCCTAAATTGGTTTTGTTTTGTAGATTTCTAGATGTTCATTGTAAAATACTAATTTTAGTTGGGGTTCCATGAGTTAAAATAAAATATTTGTATGGACAAGACAGAAATATGGTGCAGTTTATTCTCATTTTCAAAGCTTGAGTTAAAATAACACTTAATTTAAAATTATTCATTGACATTCAATTTTACATTCATTTTAAAGAGCATTAAAAACTAAAGAGAAATCATGTAGCCTAGGCTATAGCAAATTTATTTATTGTAGCCTACATGTCCAAAAAATATGTAACATTTACTACAAAGAGGTCTCGGAAAATGTCTTGGCCCTTGGCCCTACTGAGCAAACAACCTAACTTAAATCATGCTCTAGGACTTGTGTTGTTACAGAAAAAACTAAATCATTTTACATTTTACTCTAGGCTATTTTATGGTGTTATTATTATGTTTATTATTCAAATTAGGGAGAATACTATTATGAACCATGCTTAAAATATACAAACGGTTAAAATAAAATCGAATGTAAGTTACCTATAGGCCTGACTTACCAAGTCCAGTTACCGGTAAGCTTTATGTGATTAGCCAAAAACTATTTACCATTTACCATTTACCATCGATGTCTTCTCCGCCGTCCTTGTAGACAGGGGAATCGTCAAATTCTTGTTAATATGTGTATGCGTGTGTGTGAGTTTGAGCATTGCTCTCCTATTTATTGTTTAGGTTATACTTGTGTTCATTTATAAAGTCAATTAATTTATAATATGGTCGTTTAATCAAGTATTGTTTGAGTTGTTTTTTAAAAGTTTTATTTTCACTTATTTCTTTGAGTTCTTTTGGCAAAAGATTAAACATTTTGATCCCCATGTTGTTTGGTGTTTTACTGGTTTTGTTTAGCCTGTGATAGCCTATGTCAAGGTTTGATTTGTTTCTGATGTTATAGTTGTGACATTGGGTTCTGAGTTGGGGGGGATTTGATTTGATTGAGGTAATTGTTTCAAAAAGGTAAAGGGAGATTACAGTTAGGATTTGGTTTTCGATAAAGAAAGGTTTACAGTGGGCTTGTGGGTTTTCTTGTTCAATTTGTTCTATTATTCGAATTGCTTTCTTCTGTAAGGTTATTATTTTCTCAATGTGAATTTCATTTGCAGAGCCCCAGGCTATGATGCCATATCTGATATGCGATGAAAAGATTGCATGATATGCAGTTATAGTAATTTCTTTGTTTGTTAGACTTCTAATTCTTCGTAAAGCATACACAACTTGTGACAATTTTCCACCTAGCTTTAAAAGGTGATCATGCCATGTTAGGTTTTTGTCCAAAACTATTCCAAGGAACTTAGTATTGGTTTGTGAGTTTTCATCTGTAGTTGAAATTTCATTGTTATGGTTTGTAGGTTTGAAGTTTATTACTATTGTTTTCTGTTTATTTATTGTCAAGTTTATTTGGTTGCAAGCAGCTGTAGAGATTTGTAGAGTTTCATTAGTTTTTAATTTTTGGAGTTCTGGAGTTTTGCCATCTGTTGGTGTGATGATTGTTGTGTCGTCTGCAAACATTATACAGGCGCTGTCTTCTGTAAAATTGGTGGGGAATGAATTTATATATGTTAAGAAAAGCAGGGGCCCTAGTATGGAGCCCTGCGGAATTCCTTTGTAAGTTGTCTGTAGTTTAGACCTGCATTTGATTTCATAATAGTTCTTCGTATATTCTATTTCGACTAGCTGCTTCCTGTTCGTTAGATAGTTCTGGATCCAATCTAATGCTTTGTGAGTAATGTTAAGTTGCTTAAGCTTTTTTATAAGAATTTTTCTATCTAAGCTGTCAAATGCTTTTTCGATGTCTAAGAAGATGCCGGTTGCTTGGGATTTTGTTTCCCATATATTAGTTATTTTATCACAAAGGGTTGCTAATGCTGTATTGGTAGATTTGCCACTTCGAAAACCATGTTGGGATTGGGAAATTTTATTATTATTTTCTAAATAGTTCATCAGTTGGTTATGTATGCTTTTTTCTATGTATTTCGACAATGTTGGTAGGATAGATATCGGTCTATAGTTTGAAATATTTGTCTTCTCTCCTTTCTTATACTTTGGATATACTAGGGCTATTTTTGCTAGGTCTGGTACGGTTGCTTGTTTAATTGAGGCATTTATTACGTTTAAAAGGGGCTCAATTATTTGATTTTTACAATGCTTAATCATTTTGTTATTTATCTCATCAATCCCCGAGGAATTTTTCGGGGGTAGCTTAGTCATTATTTGCTCAAGTTCTTTTTTGGTTACAGTCTTGAATTCCGATAGAGAGTCTGGTTCGGGTAGTGTCATGTCCGGTGTTAGGTTGTCGAAATTGGTGTCCAGTGTCTCAGTAGGTTCTCCTTTGCCTAGAGTGATGAAGTGGGTATTAAATAATTTGCATATCTTGGTAGGGTCGCTGATAAGTTGGTCATTGGCTATTAGTTTAATCTCTTCGTTGTGTTTTTTATTGGGATTTCTTTCTCTATTTATGGTTGACCATAGTTCTTTATTTTTATTGGGGGCATTTTTTATTTTTTTAATGATTGAGTTTCTTTTTTGTAATTTAATTTCTAAGTCATAACATCTTTTTAGCCGTTTGTGTAGTTCCTTATCTTCATCTTTATTTGTCAATAAATATTTTTGTTCTGCCTGACGTAATGTAGATCTTAATTTTACCAGCTTTTCATTCCAGAATATTTTTTTATTATTTTTGTTATTATACGCTCTGTAGGTTTTGGGCATGATTTCTTCAATTTTTCCTTGGATGGTTTTCACCAGGTAGTTATATTTTTTGTTAACATCAGGAGTTGTAAATATGTATGACCAGTCTTGATTACTAAGTGATTCTTTTAGTTCATCTAATTTAGCTGTTGTTATTTTTCTGGTTAGCCTTTTGATGGGGGGGTTAGTTTTCATTTTTATTGCTTCTACTATACATTTCAACAAATGCACAAATAAGTTGTGGTATTATAACTTATAAAAGGTTTAAAATGTATTTTTCAAGGATTCACGACCATAACCTACAATTCTATAACCAAACTATTCGTACACAAACATTTACTAGAACGTAAACAGTCGAACCAGCTGTGTAAAGCTGTCTACTATTGCGTAATGGTTTTTGATTGGTTGACCACATTTTCTCAGCTCCTCTATAGTAAAAGATGAAAATAGCTGTTGCCAACCTCCTTCTGTCGCATTTGATGTGATTTGCAGTCAGCTTTATTGAAATGTGATACTGTATGATACTGAGCGTGTCTCGCTCCGAGACGCTAGCATTTCTCGCGCAACCTTGACCATCTCGCTACGAGATGCTCAGCACTCAAGCTAAGACAATGGTGCGTCTCGGAGCGAGACGCGGCGGCACTCAAAGGGTTAAGTCATAAGTAATTTATTTTGCCATATTTACATTTAACTTCACTCAAACTTAACTTAATGCATGGCTAAGTCAATATACAAAAAATACAGATTGTCTCTTAAACCATAAAATAGGTAGGCTAACTATAAACTAAACAATATTTACATTTAATAAATTCATGAACCAAGCATAGGCCTACCATATGCCCATGATTTTTCATGACCAATAAAATCACGGACACGGTAGAAACACTTGGACACCAGCAATTTTGGAAGCGATTTTTTTTACTCAATTTTTAGTTGGGTTGGCAATGAATTGTAAATCAGTACACTATACCGTTATAAAATTGTTTTTTTTAAAGGGTGGTTTCGAATGCTTTAGTATCTGTAGATTAAGACTGTTTCACAAAGAATACTATGGACATGATCTGGAACTTGAAACATATCTTACATAACTTTGTTTCATGTGAAATTCTTTCTGGGGCTGCATTTGACACTTTGACTTAATTTAAGCTACCTAATAAGCTATTTTAACTACTTAACATTATCTTAATCTCAATTCTGGGTAAAGCTATTAACTTATTCAGAAACACAGACACTAACTTATTTTGTACTGTTTTAAGGCTATTTTGATACAGTAGACTCCCTCTTATCTGGACTCTTCGGGACCGAGGCAAATCCGGATAAGGTTTTCCGGTTAAACGGACGTCCCCAAAAACTTGTTATTTAACCCAAATATTTTACTTACATTTTAATCACTGGTCTGAAATCTTTCCCATGAGAAAAGTCGTTTCAGTACCGCCCACTTCCTGCCGATCTAGTCCGGTTAAACTGATGTGCTGAAAAAAAATTGTCCGGTTAAAGCGATGTAATTTCTGACGAGTGTAGTCCGATTAAACCGATGTCCGGTTAAAAGGTGTCCGGATAAGAGGGAGTCTACTGTAGGCCTAACGTAAATTTCCACTTGTAGCTGTGTTTTGGATTCCCAATAAAATATAAAGCTAAATATATTGTCTTCTTAAATAACTTAATATAGGCTAGCTATCAATAAGTTGTCAGTAGGCTATTAACTTTTAAGTTAACTTTTGCATGATGTCTACCTCACTGAAGTTGAAACAGAAGTCTCCGAACAGTCCCAGATTTTAGTAGAGGGTCATGGAAGTCATTCAATGTCACGTTTAACTTAACTTATTTTCCAACCAAGGTCTCAAAAAATTGAGCAATAACTTATCTGCATGGGCAATACGGGCGTACCAGCTAAGTTAGGAGGTTTGTTATTCACAGAAATATCTATATGTTGACAGTGCTAAATGTCAGGTTTAATAGAAATAGGTTATATATAACTATTTTAGAGTAGGCTACTAATTGGTTTGTAAAATCAAATTCCTTAGCCTACCTTGTACACACTATGAGGTCACCAATCTTTAAGAATTAGGTCCCAAGAGTCCCCAATTTTACTTTTGTTATTGAACTGGCAGACACCCTGTTTTGGAATCCTTTCAGTTAAGTTTTTGTTATATTAAGTACCGTAGACCAGTCTTGACCCGGATACTGTTAAGTTGTCTTAGCCTATAACTTAAATAACCTCAACTGAGTTGTAAACAACAATATGTACCGGTACTCTGACAGTTGGTGCAAAATATGTCGCTCTCTGCCATAGATAAATAAGACAATCTCTCCGACTCAAGAATTGATGACCTTTTTATTTTTTTAAAACTTAGTAGGCCTATGTCAATGATACGTTTATATAACTTAGACAATGAGAGTATTGTTAGCGATTAAAATACTACACAAAATTATATCACTTATAATACAACGTATAATTTTATGTACCATTTAGGCTAAGTTTATGTACTATTTTATTTTTTATATAGCCCAGTACCTTAGTCGGACAAAGATGAAATTTTCACCAAAAGTTAGTGCTTGGTAAATCTGTAACTGACAAATGAAAAACGTATGGATTGGCCACAATTTACATGTACACGGCTATGAAGGTTAGCCTATGTCTTAGAGATTCTATCAACAACGTACATGAATCATTTGTTTATCTTGGTCTTGTATTTTTAATCTAAGAGTAAAAAAAAAACAAAAAACAGGTGCATTAGAATATTTAATTTAATAAGCTATTTATTACTTTCATCATCTCACCTTGTTGGTACCATTGGTCTGAAGTTCATGTAACTTAACTTAGTTTATTTAATTTTGATTTCAGACATCTGACGAGATGGACACAGACGAGGCAGAGTCATCAGGGAGTGGAGGACCGATGTCCTCGCTGAATAGTCTGTTCTCCTTCACTAGTCCTGCAGTGAAAAAACTGTTGGGCTGGAAACAAGGAGACGAGGAGGAGAAGTGGGCAGAAAAGGCAGTGGACGCTTTGGTCAAAAAGCTGAAAAAACAGAAGGGAGCGATTGAGGACTTGGAGCGAGCCCTCAGCTGCCCGGGACAACCGAGCAAGTGTGTAACCATCCCACGCAGTCTGGATGGTCGGCTTCAGGTTTGTTGTGTATTATATCTGTAAAAAATACATTTTATCTAGTGTCAAGTCAGGTCGTTTGGGGGGGAGGGCTTGTGTCCCCGTGCCCCTCCCCCTCCCTTGGATCCGCCACTGGCTGTATTGCCAATATATGAAAGAGTTTATCCAATAAAATTATAATATTCAGAGAGAATGAGTTATCTTGCCTCGAGTATAAAATATACAAGAAATTGAACATTTCTTGAAACACTCATATATGGTGAAAATCCGGTTCTTAATTTGAAAGGTGGGTAGGCCTATTTGGCGAGTGAGAGTGGTTTATGACCCAGGATAAATGAGTACTGTTGTTTTTGACACTAGTTACTGTTTTAGACCTACACTCTTTGTAACTATCTAGATAAGGTTAGATTGCAACAGGTTCATTTTTTTACAATTTCTTTACAGTAATATAGGTACTTTTTTCAATTTTTGTTTTGTTTGCAGGTTTCCCACAGGAAGGGTCTCCCACACGTGATATATTGCAGGGTGTGGAGGTGGCCTGATCTACAGTCTCACCATGAACTCAAGCCTTTGGAACTCTGTCAGTATCCCTTCTCTGCCAAACAAAAGGAAGTCTGCATCAACCCTTATCATTACAAGAGAGTTGAAAGCCCAGGTATGACTTTAAGTTAATTTTTTTTAGTTTGGGCGCTAATATAAAATCTTGAAAGTAGTAATGTAATTTGATCTTGATCTAAAGTTGTGATTGTGGCACTAGTAAATAGTGGCAACTAGCCATGTCAGAAACCATTTCGTCCAACAATCGACACCTAATGTCCTCTGGGTACGAAATATTGGGGATTTTCTGTGTCACCTTTGTGTATTATTGCCTTAGTTGAATTGTTTAATGGTTAGCCTATCTGCTATTCCCAAATTTTAAACCACAATTGGATAAGGTTTATTTAATATTTTACAGTGCTGCCGCCAGTCCTGGTACCTAGACATAGTGAGTTTGCGCCGGGCCACTCCCTACTGCCGTTCCAACAGATGCCAGAGCCTACGATGCCTGCCAATGTGTCGTACTCCACCAGTGGCTTTAGTGGTGGCCCCACCTCACCCCTTAGCAGTGTACCTTCCCCTGCCACGTCCAATCCTCACAGTCCCTACAGCGCAAACGGTCTGTCAGGTTAGTCTCATGCAATTTTTTAACGGTTTTTGTCAGGAAACAAACCAAATCCAGCATTTGGTGCCATACTGTTTCACGAATAATTAAATTATTAGCCTAATTAAATAAATGTTAGCAAATGGCAGTTCCCCTCACTCAGGATCAAACTTGCATCCTTTCTATTTGTTAATGAGCTCTATATTATAACCGCTTAGTTATACATCTTTCTAACACCACTATGTCAGGAAACAATCCAAACTTAATTCCATTGAAATGATTGTAATTTTTAATCGTCACCCTTTTGACTAGTATACATCCGTTGTAGTCGGGTTTGCGACACTGTTCTAATATGACCTCAACTTCATTAGGTTTAGACCTCAAACTTTAAGTATTTAGAACAATACTGAAATTGAAGCATGATTGGCTTCAAACTCCTTGTGGACAGTTCCCAGTATGCAGAAATAAATAATTTATTTGCTTCAATAAGTAAAAATACCACCATACGTAGGTTTACCACATACCTTAATTAATTAGGTTTATATATTTTTTTATGTCCCACCTTCACATCCAAGGACGCTAGATAGTGGGTTATGACATTATCACATGTATAAAATCCATTTGTGATTGGCGGGATTTGAACCCGGGACCTCGGGCTCGAAGCCCCGTGCTCTGCCACTAGATAGCTCACTCCCCGATTACTATATATATATTATGCCTAGAATAATAGTAGACACTTGCTAAATCTGGCTTGTTCAAAACATAACTATGTCGGATTATTAAAAATGCTGTAGGCTACTTAGATTACCTTCTTACATAGCTGTTATTGCGAGTCTAGGAGAAATACCACTAATATTGAGTGAAAAGGAAACCATTGGCCAACAAGCCTTTGTTCTGTGTTCTTTTTATAGGCCTAATTTCCGTTATTTAGTAGTAATATAAAATGGTAAATAAAAACTCACCTTTAATCATTTGAGTGCAATCGATGTCCTCCTTTCTAAGCCATACATACATACACATACATTAACCTAACATACATTTGTGATTTCTATCACTAGTTACGTATTTTCAATGCACTTTTGGTTTTTCCCGCAGTTTGCATAACTTGTGTGATCTATGGTAGTGCAAAAATAACACACACTAACCTAAATGTTATTGAAAACAATTAACTGCATGTGTTTGTGTGATACATTAACACTGTATTTAACAGAAAAAACCTTTTCTCTGACACCTGTTACTGCTAATCAATTACTTCTAAGTTACTACTATTAACTTTGTGCAATGTGCTGTGAATTACTGCAACAAAACGGAATGCCATCCCCATACTCTTTGAAAGATATTGAAATTACTAATCATCTCTGGCAGCACTGCAGAATCCTGATGGGAACAGAATTAATTGATAGATGAAAGTGAGAGAAATTATCTTTTAAAAGCAAAGCGATTAAACTTAATTTAGTGGTGTAATGTCATTGGTGTTAGACAAACTACTTTAGCAAAAAAATTTATATTTAGGCCTACCTAAATTAACTTAAGCTGAGGATCATATGTATGGTGATGTAGTTTTAAACATAAGCTACTCGTACTTATCCTTCTAAACTTTGCATTGATTGACACTATTTAGTTAAAGTTGTATCTAAATAAGCATTTTGATGTAAACGATACAATGATTTCATATCATTAATAATTTAAGAAGTATAATGTAAAAATGATGTTCCAGAATCACCTCCGCCTGCTTATAGTCCACCAGAAGAGAGTCAGCATGCGCCTTCGCCCCCTCTGAGCCGGGATACAATGGACACCACCAGCACAGAGGTCGCCCCAGTATCCTATCAGGTATGATTACAATCTTAAAATATTCCTAAGATTACCTCTAGTTACATATTTTAATGCACTTTGGTTTTTCATACAGTTTGCATAACTTGTGTGATCTAATGTAGTGCTACAATAATGCACACTTTAACCTGAATGTGATTGACAAACAATATACAGCATGTGTTGGTGTGATACATTAACACTGTTGTAATGGCCTAGCCGTTTATACTCCTAATAATTAAATTCTAACCGACTGTTCAGGAGATATGATAATTAAATAACTTCTTGATCAGCATTGTACGTGTTATTAAATTTACGGAAAGTAAATAAAAGAAACGTCTTATAACACTTAAAACATATATTTACGCTTATACTGTTACTCACATGACAGTAAATATACAAAAACGATGGTAAGTGGTGATCGATTTCGATTGGACACTCCAATCATCATCAGACCCAATAGGCGAATGATGGGCAATAGGCACATTCGCCTATTGGGTCTGATGATGATTGGAGTGTCCAATCGAAATCGATCACCACTTACCATCGTTTTTGTATATTTACCGTCATGTGAGTAACAGTATAAGCGTAAATATATGTTTTAAGTGTTATAAGACGTTTCTTTTATTTACTTTCCATATGATAATTAAATGAGGAATTGGCAGGGTAGGAGTAACTGCCAAATTTGTATAAATGGCCTAGGTTGGTGTTAACATCGACTATTACACCTTTATCAATACATTAGTATCAATAATTAATCAATATGATCATCGTCCAAACCAGTGGTCAGAAACTTAAGAAATGTTTATTTGAGTAATTATTTGAAGATAATTGAGTCTCCATATGAATATCCCAGCATCGCCAAACTATCTCCAACCTCGTATAAATTACAACATTATTTTAATAGTAAAAGTTATGAAGCTGGAATATGTTCACTACCGGTGCTGACTCGGGCTTTCTGCTGACGGAGATAGCCTCCGTTGGGGAGTGTATTTGGCGGGCAAAGAGGTCGAGCCTTGCGCAGGGTGTCGCTCAGAGACTACGCTGAACGCTGATTGGCCCGTGAGGCGCATCAGCGCTGCCGAAAACGAAAGAATAAGGAAGTCCGCGTTAAAATCTCAATTAAAACAGACGCGACTCGGCACTCCCTTGAACCGAAATGTTATTTCTTTAGTCTAAATTCATTATCTAAATTCTTTTGTAAAAAGTTGTTGTTTAACCATAATTGTATAATTTTAGTAAATTAATCAAGTAATAAATCCCATTTTTGTACAACTGTGTGCGTGAATTAAGCTCCCAAAAATTCTCTCGGTTAACGCGATCAGTTCGAAGTCACAATAATTTTCGGCTGACGAGGCTAATAACATGAAATTCAGCCTGATTTTTCTACCTCTAGTTACCTATTTTCAATGCACTATTGTTTTTCATGCAGTTGGCATAAATTGTGTGATTTAATGTAGTGCTACAATAATGCACACTTTAACCTGAATGTGATTGACAAACAATATACAGCATGTGTTGGTGTGATACATTAACACTGCATCTACAATAACAACAAAAACCTTTCGATTGATGATTAACAATATTTTAATGACTCACTAGTGATAATTTATTAAAATAACATGGAATTCAGCCTGATTTTTCTACCTCTAGTTGCGTATTTTCAATGCACTTTGGTTTTTCATGCAGTTTGCATAACTTGTGTGATCTAAAGTAGTGCAACATTAATGCACACACTAACCTAAATGTGATTGACAAACAATACACAGCATGTGTTGGTGTGATACATTAACACTGCATCTACAACAACGAAAAGCTCTTTTGATTAACAACTCTAGTTAGTGTTAATATTTTATCTAAAATTAAAATAATGCTATGAAATTTAGCCTGTGTTTTCTACCTCTAGTTACATATTTTAATGCACTTTGGTTTTTCATGCAGTTTGCATAACTTGTGTGATCTAAATTAGTACAACATTAATGCACACACTAACCTAAATGTGATTGACAAACAATACACAGCATGTGTTGGTGTGATACATTAACACTGCATCAACAACGAAAAGCCCTTTTGAGCTAATACTTTAACTCATAAATTAAAATAATAATGCTATGAGATTTAACCTGTGTTTTCTACCTCTAGTTACGTATTTTCAATGCACTTTGGTTTTTCATGCAGTTTGCATAACTTGTGTGATCTAAAGTAGTGCAACATTAATGCACACACTAACCTGAATATGTTTGACAAACAATACACAGCGTGTGTTGGTGTGATACATTAACACTGCATCTACAACAAACGAAAAGCCCTTTTGAGCTATTACTTTAACTCAAAAATTAAATTAATAATGCTATGAGATTTAACCTGTGTTTTCTACCTCTAGTTACGTATTTTCAATGCACTTTGGTTTTTCATGCAGTTTGCATAACTTGTGTGATCTAAATTAGTGCAACATTAATGCACACACTAACCTAAATGTGATTGACAAACAATACACAGCATGCGTTTGTGTGATACAGTAACACTGCATCTACAACAACGAAAAACCCTTTTGATTAACAACTCTAGTTAGTGCTAATACTTTATCATAAATTAAAATAATGCTATGAAATTCAGCCTGTGATTTTTACCTCTAGTTACATATTTTAATGCACTATGGTTTTTCATGCAGGTTGCATAACTTGAGTGATCTAAAGTAGTGCAACATTAATGCACACACTAACCTAAATGTGTTTGACAAACAATACACAGCGTGTGTTGGTGTGATACATTAACTCTGCATCAACAACGAAAAGCCCTTTTGAGCTAATACTTTTACTCATAAATTAAAATAACAATGCTATGATATTTAACCGGTGTTTTCTACCTCTAGTTATGTATTTTCAATGCACTTTGGTTTTTCATGCAGTTCAGTTAGCATAACTTGTTTGATCTAAAGTAGTGCAACATTAATGCACACAATAACCTGAATATGATTGACAAACAATACACAGCATGCGTTTGTGTGATACAGTAACACTGCATCTACAACAACGAAAAGCCCTTTTGATTAACAACTTTAGTTAGTGGTAATACTTATCATAAATCTAAAAAATGCTATGAAATTCAGCTTGTGTTTTCTCCCTCTAGTTACATATTTTAATGCACATTGGTTTTTCATGCAGTTTGCATAACTTGTTTGATCTAAAGTAGTGCAACAGTGATGTACACACTAACCTGAATGTGATTGAGAAACAATACACAGCATGTGTTGGTGTGATACATTAGATAATAGACAATAGACAAATTCTTTATTCCTTCAACATGTGACTATGCAATTTCGTCCTAGGACAAAATTGTACTGTCCAGTCGGCCTCGGATAGCTAATCTAATTGAGTATGTCCAGGGTTAGTACAGTAGAACCTTGATAACAAGACTCTCATGGGGATTGTAAAATAAGACTTGTTATCAAGGTTGACTTCTTATCGAGGTTTGTAATAACATGTGATTAGGGGTAAAATAATTTTAATGGGATTTGAAAATTACACTTGTTATCAAGGGCAACTTGTTATCGAGGGTCTTCTTATCAAGGTTTCACTGTAGTAATAATAATAGTATTTAGTTTTAAAATATGGGCTCAGATATGGTCGTTAAGCATCACTCAGCTTTCAGTAAATGACACATTCATCACTGCCCGGGTTAAGCCTTAATATAAACAAATTAGTAAATTTGGACTAATTGGTGTTAATTCCGTGAGTGAAACACTGATTGTAACTAACTAAAATCGTTAACTTAAAAAATAAAACAAATCTCTAATTAATACCATGTTTCACTTTTGGAATTAAAACCAACGATGCTTAAAATAATCCGAATCGAATGTCGCCGGTCCACGAGTTATTTCGCCCTAGCCTAACACCTGCTATTCGACAATGACAGAGTTATTTCACCACTGGCTTATTACCGGGCTATTCCGCCCTCGACCTAAGGTTTCGCGATGTATATGCGCGGATCCAAGACCAATCCCGCCCTTGGCCTATCACCTAGTGTTCGACTTTACCAGAGTTGTTTCACCACTGGTTTATTTAAAGGGATATTCCGCCCTCGACCTATTGTTTCCCAATATACACGGATCCTAGAGCTATTCCGCCCTTGGCCTATCACCTAGTGTTCGACGCTACCAGAGTTGTTTCACCACTGGTTTATTTACCGGGGGCTATTTTGCCCTCACCCTACAAGGGAGAGATGTTGCTAGCTATTCGCCCAGCGCTCGAGTGTCTATCTGTCCCCTGTCCTGCGCCGTATTTATATGGGTCGCGACGCTAGCGCGGTGCGTGGCTGTTTGGAGAACTAATGACCCTGCGCGGGCGATTTGAAATCCTATGAACGCTGGTTTTCTGATATCTTAATATTTTTACCATTACAAACAATATACGTTACACATATTGTAATAAACATCGTCAAACTTGAATAGCAAATAACAAACTTACAAGGCAGCAAATATTTGTTCTGTCAAAAGATACATACAATACATAAATAAATGTCACAAAAATATATCTAATCCGTCTAGAACAAGGTCATCTTAACTAGGCATCAAAAACGCACCTAGTTCATATATTGTCATAAAAAGTTTTTTTTAGCTTAATGGATTTCATTAACCTCCTAATTTTTAGCTACTCAACTAAGCCTAGAGAATTATACACAAAAGTTTTTCTGACTCAGTAAGTTTCTGGGTTCGGTCTGTATTCTGTGGTAAAACCTATATGGTTTATCTAGCTAAATCATGTTTACAGGTATCTTTAGCAATGTGCTGTAACATTATAACATGTTGTTACTTGGTTGACAGGAACCACTGTACTGGGCCAGTATAGCGTACTACGAGCTGAACTGTCGAGTGGGGGAGGTGTTCCATTGTCAATGTCACAGTGTTATTGTCGACGGATTCACCAACCCCAGCAACAACCTCAACCGGTTCTGTCTCGGCCAGCTGAGCAACGTAAACCGCAACTCCACCATTGAGAACACCAGGAGACATATTGGCAAAGGTGAACAATCCCAGTGTTGTATTATTTTGAGAATTCATTAGGCCTACCTTTTGACAAGCATTATGTGTTTGGACCCAAAAAATTTACTTTAGTTTTTGATGGTGGCCAATACGTTTAAAATTGTTTGTGGCAGCTCATGTGTATACTTTTTTGTTGGCCAAATTGGATGTGTGTCTCAAAATTCTGTAGTTAATTGCATCAAAGTCTCACTATAAAATATCATTAAGGCATTTAAATGTTTAATATTTTTCACAAAGTACAACAGAACTCCCCTCTCCACAAATCTGACACTACAAATAGTTAAGCCTAATATTTTATCAAGCAATAACTTAGAGAGACTATATTGCAATTTGGAGTCAAAGGACAAATTTAACTTCACTTCAATTATTGAGGCTTAGGTGTAAAGTACCCCAAGGATTGAATTAAAAAAAAGTCTTCTCTCGGCTGTTAATTGATAATTAATTGTATTACAAATCACCCTCAATTACTATATGATGGTTGACAGGAGTGCACCTGTACTACGTGGGCGGGGAGGTGTATGCAGAGTGTTTGTCAGACAGTGCCATCTTTGTGCAGTCTCGCAACTGCAACCACCACCACGGCTTCCACCCCTCCACCGTGTGCAAGATCCCTCCTGGTTGCTCGCTCAAGATCTTCAACAACCAGGAGTTTGCTCAGTTGCTCTCCCAGTCAGTCAACCACGGATTTGAGGCTGTTTATGAGCTTACCAAGATGTGCACAATCAGGTGAGCGGATGTAATCCATGATTTTACATGGAGTGGTGTATAATCCTTGGCCTTTTTTACTATAAGTTTTCTGATTTTGTAAGTTACCATACCACACTTGTGGTAATCAAATCAAATCAAGCCACTCCTATACTGTGGCGACCAAGCCTCATGAATATCAGACTTTGTGACCTGTGCACATGTAAGTAAGGTACTGGGTCAACGTTTTCACATGCCACCATATAAAGCTTTAACTGTCATTAGGGGTCTGCGGGTCCCCGATTTTTTCGGGTCGGGTCGGGCCAGCGGAAGGCCCGAGAGACCGGGTCGGGTCAGAGATTTGTTCAGGCCAAGATCGGGTCGGGCCAAAAAAAATAATGATTTATTTTCAAAGAAACACTCCTATATATATTATTACAGAGGAATTAAAACGTTAAAATTAGAATTAAATATTAAGTTTGCTCACGACGTTTAAGAACAAAGACACAACGGAGCAATTGCCGTACTGTCACTAGCCAGAGCCAGTCGTCTACTGACAAAAGCCGTGACGCAACAGTGCAAAGAAAACGAAGTCAATAGAAAGACTATTTATCCAGAGGTACCAGTTTAATTATTTATTGTTTATTCCATACCTAGTTTAAAATATATTTTTATTTTTGTATTTTACATAATAAATTATAAACAAAAGAAATATCTGATATAGTGTACAGATCTGTATCTTGTTCTTTTATTTTCCTATTGTCCTTTTTGTAATTCAGTAACAAAACAAAACAACACTTCTGATCTTCTGGTTCGGCATTGTTTGGTCACCATTTCATTTTTTTTCAAGTATCAAGTATCAGCAAGTTTACAAAGAGGTTAGGCCTAAATATTTTATAATTTTATGAAATTTTTCATCAGTAAAATTATTTTTTTGTTAAGTTAGATTGAGTTTCAAAAAAGATATTTCTAAGATCCAATGCAATATTTACAAGACACAAACTACCTTGAATTAATTTAATATCTTTGGAAATAATCCGTAACAGTTTTATATTTTTGAATAAAGAAATATATCTTTTTGTCTCTACTTCCTTGTTCCGTTACTTGCATTTTATCAGCAATTGGAACAACCGGATGGTGTAAGAGGGGTGGGGGAGGGGGAGGGTCTATGACCTTGAGTGTCCCCGGGCCTGGCTCGCAAGGACCTGGCTGTGAGAGTGATTCATGGTTTTTTTTTGTTTACATTCTACTACCCTTCCCTCCGAAAAAAAGACCCTACAGTTTCAAAAACATTGACTTAAAGTTTAAAAACATTGAGTTGTGTTGCTAATTAGGGCATTATAATGTCTCTGCTGTCTGCTTATGTTGCCAAATTATCATTTAACTGTATTTTCTCTTGCTTTAATATAATTTTCTATTATTATTATTTTTTTTTTTATAAAACAAACAAGCAATCTTTATTTACATTTTTTGACATGGAAAAATAATAAAACTTTTTCTATTTAGATGAATAAAAAGCTGGTACTCCAGCCCCATCTTCGAACTCTCTAAGGGTCCTCCACTTCTTTCTTGTCCTCCTTAGACACATGCTGCTGGCCCTTAACGTCGCACAGATGGTTTTCACCCTTATCCAGTTCATCACTAAACTGTAAGGTTTCTTCCATTTTTCTGTGAGGCGTTCTGCCATTGCTCTGAGCAAGGTCTGAAATTCTTTGCCTAGCATTCCGTCCACAGACGTGACTAGTGGGGTGAAAGAAGCATTTCTTGTTTCTGTTATTGTTAAATATTTTTTCTTCTTCTCTCTTTCTGCATTCTCCAGAACTTTTTCGTATGGGATACGATGGGGGGCTATATAGAAATGATGAAATGACAGTACAGTTTTTGATCTAGTATTTACAAGTGTGTTTTCCTGTGCAGGATGTCGTTTGTGAAGGGTTGGGGTGCGGAGTACCATCGGCAGGATGTGACCAGCACTCCATGTTGGATAGAGGTTCACCTGCACGGACCCCTACAGTGGCTAGACAAGGTGCTTACACAGATGGGCTCGCCTCACAACCCCATCTCATCAGTGTCATAACCAAAGACGCCATCAACATGTTGCGTTCCAAGATCTCAGACTTTACCTTGCCAGAGAGGGTAAACAACGACGGAGTGAATGTTTAAGGTCATTTTTGTCATTTCTAAGTGTTCAGCTCAACAAGTGAACTGTTTCAAAATCTGGGCCTGGATTTGCTTAGTTTTGTATCAGTCAAATTGGTGAAGGATCATGTTAGGACATTGCAATTTTGCTCCTCCTTCGGTTACAATGCTACACAGATGTTATCATTTGACTCTTGATACAACTAGAGTCGGGACCACATAAGTTTGCAGTTGAGGGAGGAGCCTATTTACCATTTGGGTTTGAATGAACCAATGAGAACCGTGCGGTGTTGCCAAATCTAATAATACCAGCTGATTTGAAAATATTGCTTAGTATATTTTATTAGTGCGATGTGGCAACGTTGCACTAGCCTTGTCTTGTGATTGGCTGCCACCAACTGCAAACTTACGTGGTCCCGACTCTAGACATTCCATCCCACCTTAAAGTTAGGACGTAATTGATTTGAGTCACGGACAGAGTGTGTGCTGGTATAAATTGCTGATTTCTGACGAATACGCTGACTTTTTACCAAGTCAACCTGATAGGAAAACTTATGGACACTAAAATCTAGGCTGTCACATCAAATCTCTCAGAACCACCAATTAAATAAGAAAATTGAATATTGTACTGTAGCACATTCTGTGAGGGACTCTTTCAACTATGTTTTTTATAAATAAAAGATTGGCGACATCGGGTCCATATAGATGGGATGGCTACTTCACTATCCAAAGTCAATGATATAATCTGATTTCCATTGTGTGAAGCTATTGCGATAAGTTTGAAAATATAAATCTCGCACACATATATGTACTTTTGAATCCTAAACGCTGTGCGCAAAAACTTCTTATTCATTCAGGATTCTGAATGCGAGCACATCTTGCTTCGTCAAAAGTTGTTATCAAAGAAACACAGCTGCAACTTGATTTTATTTTGCCGAAGCATAATTTTGGAAGCAAATTTACAACTGATAATGCAGGAGCCTTTACACTTGATCCATTGTCGGTTTTGTAAGGGAAATCTATGAGCCTAATTAAGGAGGTTTTTTAGAAAGGTAGTTCAGTAAGCTAACTTGAGAAAGAATAGAGTTTAAAAGCTCATAGGTTTACTAGAAAAGGTCACAAACTAAATATAATTTCAGCATGTGGTAGGACATATTCAGAAAGTATGGTTATGAGAAACTCTCTGAAGATGTCCTCAAGGAATAAATATTGTGGTTCGACCTTTTTTTGTGTATCCATACCCTGAACAATTGGTTACCAATTTTTATTGTTTGGCAAAAACGCAAAACAAAAGATGTTCATCAAAGTATGCAAGGTCCCAAAACTTAGTCTTGATCACAGGTCCAGTGAGAATTACTTTTAGAGCTCATTTTAATGAAATTAAGGAAAACAGTGGTTGGGGAACTGTCATGAAAGTTCAATAACACATTCATAAGTCTACCTTCTAAATAGTTTCAGAACATAAATTCAAATTGTCTGTAAATTTCACCAAATTTAAATGTATATTTTCCAAAGTTTGTTTGTCTATTGTATGTATTGGACCTCTCCAGTCCGCGTCTACCAATCAGGTGCAATATACTCCGCTTGACGGAGTTTGAGATTTATTTGTCTTAGTTTTGTTTCTTAACGTTATCTAGAGGAGATTGTAGTTAAATGTGTATTTATGTAATATTTTAGCACTTGTGTTAAGTTCCTCTGTTGAAGTTTTCTGTTTTTATTTTATTTGTTGTAAATTTGGAACAAACCTGCTCATTCTTTAGATTTAAGGTTGTCAACGAGTGTGTGCGATATTGTGAATAAAATGTCTCGTAAGTCTTGCCCTGGAAACTTATCTTTGGTTAGATACATATTTTATTATATTGTTTTTAAATATTTTAGTGCTGTTGTTCAGTCGAGTATTAGATAGTTTTATGTAGGATGAGTTTTATTTGAATAATTCATATTGTTTACGTCTCGTGTTGGATTTAGTTTAAAGTTTTACGTGTTCATTTGCTCTGGAAACTTCCAAGGTGATCTCACAGACCTAAAAATCAAACCAGTACAAAAGAAATATGTTAAAACAAAGATTTAGATCGATATTAGGAATATATATTGCAGCAAACAAAAGGATAAAAGCTTATTGATTTGTTAATAATGTAGATAATGTTTTCTTGCTAAACTTTAAAATTTACATTGGAAGTAAAAACGATAATAATTAAGCTAACTACAAATAAACATTAGTAAAGGGTTATTTACTATTACAAAAATTGCAAACTTACAATTAGGTCGACAAAATAGTATAATATTTGCATGTATGAAGTTTTTATTATACACTAATGTTTACATGAGATTTTTTATCAGCCATACAAGTTTTACGATTATATTTTTGATACTTAATAATAAATATTATTCACTTCAGTTTTGTCCTGCATAATGAATGGCACAAAAAAGCATGAATATTTTGATATTTTTTTTATTTTGTTTCAATCAATGATAATGTTAGTTGTTAAGAGTTATTAAATAATTTACTCCACATATCTGGTAACACGTGGCATAATCATAATTACTAGAAACTGTAAGTAAATATTGTTTAGTAATAATATTATTTTAAACAGACTTGTAAAATACTACCCTTGATGTGCATGGTAAGGTATTGCATTTATTTCTATTGTTACAGAATGTTAAAACATCCAAATATTTTTTTTTTTAACTGTGTGTCATTCGAGCATGAAATTGAAATATTTTTATATGTTAACTCTTGAATTGTTTTTGTTTGCCTGTATTTAAGGATGAAAGATTGGTTACCACTTTTCTTAATGTTCATTTTATGTTGCTAGACACTTAACTTTATAATTATTTTCAATAACTTTAAGAAGTTTATAATCTATACAAATAAGAGAAAAGTGAGAATTTAAGAATAATTTTTGTACAAAACCGAAATTTATATATACAATCTGTAGAACTGGTTCTCAGCTGGTATTTTAAGTTCTTTGTTGATGTTACACAATATGTCGTAATGAATGTGATTTGTAATTGCTGTTTCAATATCTTTTTGTTATGTACACATTTATTTGTCAGAAGTATTGCAGCTGTTGTATTAAAATAGTTTAAAATTCACAGAAAGTATTGACAGATTTTGACAGTCATAAGTTGTAATTAGGTCCACTTGTTTACTGCAAAAAGTATTGAAAACTATTTTTGAGATTGAACCTGCAACTTGCGACAAGTTTGTGAGCTCATCAACCACTCACCCATCCAGCTCTATTGCGAATGATGTGAATAAACAACTGATTCATTACTAAACAATTTAAATTTTGTGGACCCCTATTGTGCTAATAGATAACAATACATATTTATCTCTATTCAGTAGTCGATGGCGATATTGACTTAAAATACCTGATTGCTTAAAAGTTTGCTATGAAGTTTTCACACATCAACTTTATCCGTCAAGGCGTAATGCAGAACTTCGCTTAGAGAGAGCACAAATTAAAAAGCATATATGTTTTTATGATACTAAAACTAAATGTAATTGCCAAAATAAATCAGGACATATTTAATAATTTTTGTAAATTTCTCATACTTTCTGTGAATTTTTAATCAGAAATGTTTCTATGAACAACGCCTTTATGGTATGTGAATTCAATATACAATTGTCAAAATATCCACTGAGTCTATACAATTCTTGAATCATAGAACTTTTATATTTTTGTGACAACTAATTTGACCTACCCTGGTTGTATTGACAATTGTATACTAGAATGATGCTTATACAAATTATCAGTATGATCTAACAGTTTGCCTTTGTTTTGTGCCTTTTGCGCTGGTACCCTTTGTTCCCCTGGGAGTGAATTGAACCTTTTTAGATACATTGTTAAACAAATTATTTTAGTTTGTTGTTTACAAATTTAATATACAAACCAAACACACTTTAAATGGCATTAAATTTCACTTTTTGGTCAGGACCACAAGTTCGCCTGAGGCCCTAAAATGGGGTATTTTGTGAGCAGCAAACGTTTTAAATAAATCCCCATTGAGTGAAAACTCATGTTTATTAAAGAAGATTATCAGTAGAAACTAGACAACATTCTTGTGTTATTCTTTGGAGGATGAACAAACTGTTGTAGTTTGCTTGTTTCTGGATGTATTCTAATACGATTTTCCAATCTGGCGAACTTATTTATTCTATTCCAAACCATTTTACTATACCCTTTAGCAGCAAACCTATAGTGCTTGTTAAACCTAAAGTGATTTAAATGGGGAATAAATCTGACTATTTGTCTGCAGATTTGCTGCATATAACTGAACAGTTTTAAAAGTAAAATATTTGTAACTACTGTAGTATTTATATTGGTCCGGTTCACTCCCAGTGTTAGCTTGTGTAGCGTCCCGCTGGCCATCAATGTTCTGTGATACAGAACCCAGAAGACATCTTCACAATGATCTGAGTGTCATGTCATTCCATTCCTGTGTCTCATGCTCCATTATTAAAACGTGTGTTTTTCTACCGTGTTGTAATTTATTTCCAGCTTAGAATTGCAAGTTGTCTTTTAAATTTGGTAATTTGTCACAAAAAAATGTTTATCTTGTGATCAGTAAGTGGTAGTTGCTCTCAGTGTCCAAATATGTGCCAATCAACTTTCTAGATTTAAATATTTTTATAGCATGACAATGACAGATGGAACTTTCAAACTTTAAAATGAATTTAAAACTGATCAGGTTGTTATAACTCATGTGTGTATAAGGGCAAGGGGGAGGTCTGCTGATTCTTCTCCCCATAACAGGAAAATCAAACACTCGTTGCTAATTTGAACTCTAAATCTGACCATGAAAACCTACTGTAAAACATGGGAGCTACTGTCAAATTATTATTGGCTCTCTTTCTTGAACAATTTTAATTGTTTCCATTCTAGTGCAAAAAAATTTGGCAGTTTAGTTCATGAAATAACAAAAAGAACTAGGCACGAGTCAGCTGAATTGCTGGTTAGCCTATATTAATAGTTGACTTGAGACAAATATTAAGTCACTAGCTGTAACCCGCGGGCTTTGCCCCGTTTAACTTCTTAATTTTCAAGATTATCTCGTTCGCATGGCTCAATCACGTCCTGGTTGAAGTTTGTTCGCTATGCTCACTCACCTTTAGGTTGGAGCTCGTTCGCTACGATCACTCACCTTTAGGTTGCAGCTCGTTCGCTGCGCTCACTTGCCTTCAGGTTAGCTCGTTCGCTACGCTAACTCGCCTCCAGGTTGTAGTTCGTTCGCTACGCTCACTCACCTTTTGGTTGCAAATTAGCTGTTGACATAAATGTAAAAGAAATAATAGTGCTGCACCCTGTTGGTAGTCCTTGTAACTTTAATGCTATTGAACATCATAGAACAGAACCAACTTGTTTAATTGAAACAGCTGTTAAGATTAAATAATTCCATTTCTCATAAGGTTAACATGGGAAACTCCAGAACCACTGGGGCGGAGCCCGAAAGGATTTTTGAAATAATAATATGCCTATATGTTAATCGGGAATGTGAGCTATCATCATGCCAAATTTCAGCCCAATCCGACCAGTATTTTTCGCGTTCACTTGTCACAAACATACATCCATCCATACATCCATACATCCAAACTTTCTCATTTATAATATTAGGAGGATAATGGTATACTAAACTAGAACAATGGCTACCGAGTGTATTTTTTTCTTACAGCTGTGTCATGTCATTAGGAGAGGTAATGTTTTGTTTCTTGTTGCAGAACTAACAGATATTCAAAATTTAAACATTTAATATTTTAACCCATTAATGAAATTAAACTGACCCGAAATGTGTGTGTCAACATTTTCCCTCTGATAAGAGATTGCGATTCTCCAGGTGTAACTATTAGGATTGTGCAGAAAAGCTCATGGGTTATTTAAAATAAATCATCAACAAATTAAAATAAATAATTTTTTTTTTTTATTTTAATCCCTTTTTTTTTGCTCCTTTCCCCACAGCATTGCAACATATGTTATACCATTTATTTTGATGGTGTGAAGGACAAAATATAACTCAAATTATTTATGAAGCAGATTTGGGGGTTACTGTAATTTATTTGTATTTTAGCTCTGAATACAAACAGATAGTTAAATAAACCAACACCACATTTTGTGAGATCATATACATACTGCAAACTCCCAAAATAGCAATACAAAAAGGTCATTTTTTTAAAAACACTACTGAGGGATCAAGAAAAAATGAAAACAATGACTTGAGACAAATATTAAGTCACTAGCTGTAACCCGCGGGCTTTGCCCCGTTTAACTTCTTAATTTTCAAGATTATCTCGTTCGCATGGCTCAATCACGTCCTGGTTGAAGTTTGTTCGCTATGCTCACTCACCTTTAGGTTGGAGCTCGTTCGCTACGATCACTCACCTTTAGGTTGCAGCTCGTTCGCTGCGCTCACTTGCCTTTAGGTTAGCTCGTTCGCTACGCTAACTCGCCTCCAGGTTGTAGTTCGTTCGCTACGCTCACTCACCTTTTGGTTGCAAATTAGCTGTTGACATAAATGTAAAAGAAATAATAGTGCTGCACCCTGTTGGTAGTCCTTGTAACTTTAATGCTATTGAACATCATAGAACAGAACCAACTTGTTTAATTGAAACAGCTGTTAAGATTAAATAATTCCATTTCTCATAAGGTTAACATGGGAAACTCCAGAACCACTGGGGCGGAGCCCGAAAGGATTTTTGAAATAATAATATGCCTATATGTTAATCGGGAATGTGAGCTATCATCATGCCAAATTTCAGCCCAATCCGACCAGTATTTTTCGCGTTCACTTGTCACAAACATACATCCATCCATACATCCATACATCCAAACTTTCTCATTTATAATATTAGGAGGATAATGGTATACTAAACTAGAACAATGGCTACTGAGTGTATTTTTTTCTTACAGCTGTGTCATGTCATTAGGAGAGGTAATGTTTTGTTTCTTGTTGCAGAACTAACAGATATTCAAAATTTAAACATTTAATATTTTAACCCATTAATGAAATTAAACTGACCCGAAATGTGTGTGTCAACATTTTCCCTCTGATAAGAGATTGCGATTCTCCAGGTGTAACTATTAGGATTGTGCAGAAAAGCTCATGGGTTATTTAAAATAAATCATCAACAAATTAAAAAAAATAATTTTTTTTATTTATTTTAATCCCTTTTTTTTGCTCCTTTCCCCACAGCATTGCAACATATGTTATACCATTTATTTTGATGGTGTGAAGGACAAAATATAACTCAAATTATTTATGAAGCAGATTTGGGGGTTACTGTAATTTATTTGTATTTTAGCTCTGAATACAAACAGATAGTTAAATAAACCAACACCACATTTTGTGAGATCATATACATACTGCAAACTCCCAAAATAGCAATACAAAAAGGTCATTTTTTAAAAACACTACTGAGGGATCAAGAAAAAATGAAAACAATAATAGTATGGTACCTAATGAAAATTCAAAGTGATTTAAACTTAATTTATCTCCCATGATTGCAATAGTACATTTTAGTAATATGTTTAATATTAATTGTCATGAATTGGTAATCAAATCAAAGTACTGTATTAACATAAATAACATACTTTTTCCTGTCACTTTGCCAACATTTAAGCAATTTTATTTAATACTAGCTGGCCCGACAGACGTCCTGTCCTAATGTGGTTTTATGTCAAATGCTCGTTCATTTTCAAGATGAGCACGTTCGCATGGCTCAATCACGTCTTGGTTGAAGTTCGTTCACTACACTCACTCACCTTTAGGTTGGAGCTCGTTCGCTGCGCTCACTTGCCTTCAGGTTAGCTCGTTCGCTACGCTAACTCACCTCCAGGTTGAAGTTTGTTCGCTACGCTCACTCACCTTTTGGTTGCAAATTAGCTGTTGTATAAATTGAAAAAAATAATAGTGCTGCACCCTGTTGGTAAACCTATTAACTTTTTAATGCTATTGAACGTCACAGAATTAAATTCTTTAGTTGAACCAGCTGTTAAGAATCTTTAATTCCATTTAAATATGAGTACTCAAAAGGTTAACATGGGAAACTCCAGAGCCACTGGGGCGGAGCGGGAGCCCTTTTGACGGATCTGCACCAAACTTCACACAAACCATCCTTGAATAATGCTTAATAATGCCTTAAAGTTTCATTAGAATCTGTCAAGCGGTTTTGGAGTCTATAAAGGACAAACAAACATACATACATACAAACAAAACATACATTGGTTTTATATATATAGAAAACTATGTGTTTAACATTTACTGACTGACCTCTAGCAATCAACCAACAACCAATCAATCAAGAAAACTGCACACATTAAAAGTACCCTTAATATTAATTTTATTTAATGACATGCACTTTAACATGAAAGACAGGGTTTATTCTCAAATAGAAAAAAATGTGAGGGGAAGCCTTGTATTATCCCAAGCTAATGGTCCATTATATGACTGATAAAATTAAAATGCACACGTTAAAACTCCTACAAATTTGACAAAAGAAGTCTGGAGTATCCCAAGTCAACGGTATCTATGATGACGGTCATGCGCCCTAGCGGTCGCGGCGGGAGCTACTGTCGCGGACGGATGGCAGAAGCAGAACCCTGTAGTATTGATTTGTGCCGCTCGCTGGAAGTTTAGTGTCGCGCAGTCGATTTCGGTGTTTTGTTCCCGAGGATATTTAGCAGCCAAGTGCAGTTTATTGTGTAATGAAGCCACCTGTGTTTCAATTTGACAGACATAAATAGTTGAAAACCGACAATGGCCAACAGGGTGAGTAGGCAATAGTTGTCACTTAAATAAATTTTAACTCCGAACTGTATTTGCAACGTTGGATTACAATACTGTATTAATACTTTGTTTTGACACCTCAAATTATGATAAAATTTGTTATGAAACCTTTTCATTCACATCCTGCATATTTACTAAATATTAAAGTCTGTACAGAGACGGACTCTAATAAGAGAAATCATGAAAATGCCAGAATTTCGAAAACCATTAGGTACCCAGAAATGTATGGATGAATCCCACCTTCAAACATACAACCTTCGAATTGTGTGTGGTGTAGGTATAGTAAATATATTTTTCTAGTTGACGTGCAAGCTCGAATCATTAACGTTTTATGTTAGCCCAGGTGTATTGTGCAAACATGATCATTGTGCACCTGTTTGTTATACGTGAGCAGATCCAGACATGTCACCAACACCAACTTGCACAAAACATGATCGTGCAACAGCACATTTCATTGTCTGAATCATTCTAGTTCACCGCCAGATAAAATTGGATTCAATCATGTATGATAAATCAATTTATTTTTAAACATAGTCTACGTAATTGTAAGGTTTGGACGATTCATTCATTCTATCACTAAAATCTAAATTATTCCCAATATTAGTCCGCGCGAAAATTGCCTTCTTATTGTTATTATTAGTAAAGGCAATTGACGTCTTTATAACCTATCTTTTAATTTCAGAACAGAACCAAGTTTAATCATCGTATAAAATTACCCATAGAGTATACACAAATTTTCATCCAAAATGGCCATTACCGGTACATGATCGCTTGTGTATGGGCATTTCTATCGGGCAGTTAAATTTTATTTGTTCTCTGTTCTTCTCATGATATTTTGACAACTTTCTGAATACATCATATAAACTTAGCTACCCTACCCTGGCTAAACGGTCTACTGTATGATGATATATGCAGTAATATTTTAAATTTTACGTTAGTTGGCTACGCTGTTGATGGTAGGGTATCAGTAGAACATTTTTGGAATATTATCCATAAGAAAGTAACTTTTTATCTACCATACTATATTATGCTGGGCTATTTCCCCCAACAAATTTTTGTAGTATGCAAAAACCTCTCAAATTGGAAAGTAGTGATGAACTGCTTTAAATAAAAAAAAAACTAAACAATTTTTTAAGGCAACACACCATCGTAGATTTCTTATCCTTATGAATCAGATGTTTCGTACAATGTTCTAACGAATCTTATGACAGTTTCGTTAGTAAATTCTGGACGATTTGTTTATCTTTTTATTTCACTAACTGTAACAAAAATAGAAATTAAACTATTTGCTTGTCCTCCAATATCACAAAAGTAAGTCTTCAATGTAAAATATACCATAGGCCTACAGTTATTGCAAAAAAAAATATATAGTTGACGTTACGACTTTGGCTTCAGATTTACGATAAAATTAGATACGAGTACAGTACTTGTATTAAGGCTATTCAAAATCTATGGGACACCTGAATGTGTCCTATCAAATACATTCTCTCATACATTTTTATAAAAAATAGACACCTCCAACGTGTGATGTTAGTAATGTCAACACCACCATGAAGACCTACGTTCGTGTTGTGAAAGACTGCCACACAGTGATATTCGATACTATATGGCTCCGGTGTCACGGTAGATAATTTGGTCAGGGCTGTCCAGCGGTCATATCCACGGCCCAGACGTAGCCAGGAAATTTGTAACACATTTGAAATAAATTGTATACATAAAAAAATGTATACAATTGCTTGTTACGGTTAGACGGTAATGATTGTAAGCGTTTCTTCATTTGACGTAACAACTCGATGTACAGCTGCGGGCGTGTTGGATCATGCACATGCATGTTACATGCTGCACGCTTTAGGATTTTTATACTTGTATTTAAGCAAAGCACTTAGATTGTTTTGTTACCTATTAAATAAAATATTTTCAAATTTTAAAACATATTTTATAAATAGGCCTATAGATTAGCAAAATTTTGTTCTCAAGATTAGCTTAAATTATTTATTTGTTGAAATATTTATTTAAGAGCACTTATATGTAAAATATGAAGACTGTTGGGCGTGCTTTTTATTGTGTAAACCTGTTCGCTTGCCCTTAAGCAGTTTAGTTGTTTAACAGATGAAATACAGTAGTTCTAGCCTATTATAAAAGGGGACCGTACTTTGTTTGGGTATTTTAAGCTTTAAAATGCATGATGAGTACAGTATATACAGGAGGATTGAGTAAGAATACCTATGTACCTCTTTCTTACTGTGAAGATCAGCTGTTTCTAGCTATAGGAGCATTTATTAAAAGCCTGATCAAGGACAGCTGTGTCCAATCATTTGGTTAGTCAATCGTTCGTTGTAATTTCTAACATGTGTTTAAACTGGTTATGTCATGAACTGAAACTATCTACACATTGTTCGAAACGAACCGCAAACCATTGTAAGTGAAATGTGAAATTGATTAGATCTATTTCGTAACAAGGGTTGACATTGTTACGGCTAGTGGTTGAAGGGGAGGGTAACACAAAAGCTGTATTGTATGGAGCCGCGCCACTGGTGGTACAATACAATATCTGATACTGTAGCAGGGGACAATGTGGCTGAATTATACATTGCCGACAGTAATAAATTAGAATAAATGCTTTCAAATTCATAAAAGCCTTAAAATAAAAATGTATGGAATGCCTGTTTTGTTAAAGTTAACGAATAAAAATCAAATAAAATGTTTCTTGATAAAGCAAACATCCCTGACAAATCCCTGTCAATTTAGATTACTAACAGTAAAAGTAAGCGGATCAGGATCAGTAGAAACTTTGACTAATTTACTCAATATATTGACATTTTAAGTATCCAACAGGATCAGAACAGAATGAGTAGAACCTTAGACATTCCAAACCCATGTTAAATTTGTAGCATTTTTTTACCAAAATCGTCGTAGTTGATGTAAGCCACCGACAGATTGTGCTGATCTAAATTACCGATTTATGTTGAAAAAACAGTATTTTTTACCAACTTTAACTAATGGAATTAAGTATTGTGAGCTATAGAAACTGTTATGACCCATCAACTTGGTCAGCAACAAAGAATAAGGTAAAAAATAGAGTTTTAGTCACTAGCGCATTCTGTGACTGGCTCACACAACTACGTTCATTTTTAACAATTGGCTACAGCTGGTCCATATAGATATTCAGTGTCCAATAGTCAATGGTAGAACCATGGTAGAACTCACTCTGTCCCATTTTCTCGCTACAGTATTTTATCCTATGATATCCAGTTATTTTGTGTGTAGGCCCTATATATGCAATGATGTAGTCTAATTCGCATTGATGTAAATAAGTTAAGTTGCAATCGAGCTCTCAGACCAGTTCCGCTTGGATAGTAGGAAAATGAAAAAATTCGAGTAGCCTATTATTCAAACGACTCAACGTGCGATCGATCAAAATGCCCGAAGGAAAAAAGTACCGTGAAAGCAGACGCAGACGTTGAAGAATTTGTCAAGTCAGCATCAGGCCTGGAGACAATACAATACTTCCACACCCAAGATAATCGCGAGGGTGAACAATATAGAGCACATTCCGATCTTTATATCATTCAATTCAATGATTGAAAACCAAAATAGCAAGAAAAAGGCGTGTTTTATTTCGCCTTTTGCCTTTTTGGAGGGTTTGGAGACTAGATTTGTAGGTCTGTGGTCTGGATCATGGATAAAAATCGTCTGGTTTGTGGAATATATTTAATTAGTAAAGAAAGATTTATTTTTTATATTCAGAGGCAGAGCCAATGTAAATAATCATTCTAAAGTACAAGTTATTATGCAGTATTGTTTCCACAAAAATATGTTTGAAATAATAATATTGAATGTATTTTTCATCCTAATAGCAAAACGTTAATATCCTGCAGCTTTTAAATAGGAAGTAGGGAATAATATGTTTGGTCAGATATCGTAAAAATATCCAGAGTAGGTACTATTATTACGCTAAATCAAAATATGGTTTGTGAAAATGTCTATTAAAACAATATGAACTCTACAGTATTTTTTGTCAAATGTGTCATTTTATGCCTGTTAACACTATTTTCATCGAGTTTATCAAATATATTTTAGTTTACAAGTTATGCCGTGATGCCTAGCAACCACGATTGTGTCGAAAGATTGAAATATTTCACTGTCCGAGATTTCATCTCTGAGAGGCAAAAACGACGATTTCGTGTAACAAAGTGATTAACGTGGCCCAACAAGTCATTTCCGCCGCTAATATTTCATAATCTGATCAGAGCCCGCCATGGAGTATCAAAATGGCGGCGAGTCCATCATTCCATAGAGTAATTAGTCCAGGAGCTGTGGGGGTTTGAGCATGCATGAAAGTAGTACGAAATGTTATTGCTGATTATTGTAATATGGACTGTGGTGATCAAAATTACGTATGTCGCCTATTTCAAAAGTGGTCGATAAGGTGGGGGGGAGGGGGCAAACATGGCGGTTTGCGCTATGCGTTAAAACGCTGATAGTTCGAAAACGGTAAAAGATAGAACATCGGTTAAAACGTCGTTGGAATTCTAAATATGTGGACAAAAATAATAGTTATTGGGTCCGAGGTCGTATCTCTATAAATAAACAAGTTATTGTATAAAATATGTAAAAATGGACTTTTCGTGTAGTTTTTTTAACCGAAAGTAGAATTAATTTGTGAGTGTCGCAAAGAAGTAATATAAAATATCTTTTCTGATAGTTGTAATATGGGCTGTGGTGATGAAAAATACGCATGTCGCCTACTTTTCAGGTGGTCGAGAACTTGGGGGGAGGGGGGCAAAGATGGCGGAACGCGCTATGCTTTGAGACGACTGTAGCTCGAGAACGGTACGAGATAGGACATCGGTTAAAACGTAGTTTTAATCCAAAACATATTACCAATAGAAAAGGTCATTGGGTAAAAAGTTGTATCTTAACTAATAAAAAAGTTATAACAATAATAAGTTTAACAAAATCTACATCGTACAGCTATTTTT